CCACATATCGTCGCTTCGGGCCGGTTTATCTCAACCGCAAGCCAACAGAGTCAGAACTGCGAAACGTGGTGAGACAATATGATGCCAGAGGGTTTCCGGGCTGCATGGGTGCGGTAGACTGTATGCATCTCCATTGGAAGAACTGTCCTGTAGCATACAAAGGACAGTATCACAATCCCAAGGATGGAAAGTTGGCCACAATAAGTTGCGAAGCTCTTTGCGATAGTTCTCTATATTGTTGGCATTGGTTTGCGGGTAGGTGTGGTACGAATAACGATCTAACAGTTTTACGTCACAGTCCTCTTTTCATTGATATCTTTAACGGAAAAAGGAAGATGAAGCTTCCGGAAGGTTTCAAGTTGAATGGAGTGACACAGCACTGGTTGCTGTATATGCTATCGGACGGAATCTACCCGCCGTGGTGCATCTTCGCAAAGCTGAGCAAATCACCACTCAGAGAGAGTGAAAGCATCTATACCAAGATGCAGGAGGGTGTCCGAAAAGACATAGAGCGCTTTTTCGGTGTTTTACAGGGTCGTTTTAGAATATTACGTCATGAACTCCATAAATGGAGCGATGAGCTCATTATTCTAATAAGTCAGGTGTGCGTAATTCTTCACAACATGATAGTTGATATGTGGGAGCGGGGAGAGCTAAGGTCTGAGAAAAATGAAGGTGGGGAGTCTGTAGATGTTGTTAGGGAGTTTGCGGAGGCTTTTACGGGTGTTTAGACGCGGAGGATACTGCTGATGTGACGGTGACGAACAGTCATGAATCTACTGGAGAAGGATCAGCTCTGGAACATCTCCTTGAGCGAAGTGGGGTTATAATGAACGAAGACAGACATATAGCGCTACAAGCAGAACTCACGAGATACCTGTAGTCTCGACGTGGAGACTCAGCTTAAGAACCGCCTGAAAGGCGGTTCTTTCTCTCGCTTCCGCGAGACGGCTTCGCTTTTCCTCGTACCTCGGGCTCCACCGCCCGCGGAAGCGAGAGATAATTTGAGAATATGGCATTTCAAGGTGTGCTGTCGTTGACTCTCAGACCCGTAAAAGTAGGGAAAGTTTACTTTCCTAGCCTTCTTCTAAAACACGCTTTTCGTACTACAACTTGGAGAACGCGGACCGTGTCTCGGTAACATCATCGTCAGTACGTTCTGCCTCAGGAAACTGCTGGAATGAGGAGCTATTGGGTCCCATGACCACGAAAGATGGAGCAGTCGCCAGCGAAGAAGACTGTTGGCCGACTGTGGATGTCGAGGCAAGCTTTCTCGCATCATCGTTGCCAAACGAATTAGCTGCATCGCTGCGAAGCGCATCGAGTATCCTCCGTTTTCCCGTATCTGCCATTGGAGTGCTCTTTAAAATCTCAAGTTGAAGTCCAAGCGCTGTGGCTTTGCGCTTGTCTCTCGCGGCGGACTCAAGCGCCGATGCCATCTTATCGACACTCCGGGCGACGCGTTGCGATCCATTTTCAACTTTCTCTTCTAGCTTTCTCTTCTTTAATCCCGGAGGGCGCGCAGCGGAGGGCTCTTCCATTGAAATATTACCTTCCATGCCATCCCCGACCTCTCCAACACTTCCGTCACCTCCGCAATTCTTCTGATTCCACCCGATAACGTCCTTGGCTGATCCAACAGAAGACGAACTCCCGCCCCCCACCTTCATCGAAAACTTGGGAATCTTTGACAGATATAGTACAGCTTCCATCGACTTGATGGGCCCAGGCGTACGAAAAACACCTTTATCCTTGTACTTGTTGGTATCGCAATAAAGCGCCATAATATTTCGTAAAGAATCCTCCTCAAACTCTCCGGAGTGAGCCATTGAAGACCGATAGAGCTTTTCAGCTGCGAGATATTTCTGTGTCACGCGACTGAGCGTTCTCCACCGAGTCTTAAGACTCCCAACGGTCCGTGTATTCTCCTTTGCGGAGCTGTGCTTCAAATAGCGCTTGTGGATCTCGGTCCAAAACATTTCAGCCTTCAAATTGGCGGTGCTTTCGGATACCGAGACCCACACAGTCGCGAGCGCATAGTCTTCTTGGCGTGAAAAATTTCTTTCCTTTCCCGACATTGTTCATAGTTCGAGAGAGGGGTCGGTGCGGTTGAAAAGAAGGGAAGGGAAAGGAGATGGCCGACGGTTTTGTTGGGGCCGGTCGGGGTTGTTGAGTATCGGTGGAAGGATGGTGGGTGCAAGGTAGAGAATGAGAATAATGCGTGAATTCGCTGTGGGGGTAGGAAGCGGGTGAGGCGGGGGTCGCGTCTTCACTATGGCGGGAAGTTGAAGATCGGAAACTTGGTCACGTCGGTCGAAGCCGCCATGTGAACACACTTCATCGGCTGGAGGGACTTGGTTTTTGGCTTAATAGACATGGCAATGATATGTTACAGGCCGAAATTTGGGAATTGGACACAGTGATAGAGGTGGTCTTAAGACCGGGGGTGACTATTTACCTTGGAGACCTATTGGAGCTACTGTTCATTATCATATCTTTTGTGTTCATCTGAATGTTCAAAGCTACACCCGAATACGGCAAATAGTCTGGGTGGGCTAATAGTGTGGATAAACATATTACTATAGGCTACAGTAACTTCTGTGAGGTGTTCTTTATTGAAAATGCTTTTACTGTAGACTACACTAATAATTACTTGACGTATATTAGTGGAGACGCGCCAAACAAACAAGAAGCGAATCCGAAACGGTCTCTCAGACACAGACGTTGGCGGGAAGCTCTTCGTATCCGAGTTCATACCTTTCTAAGCACATCAAAGGGGTAAAAAAGCTCTATAAAAGCCTCATTATCTCGACACCTCCAGACAACAATCGCAAAAACTATTACCGAAGCCTACGTCCTGAACATGGACTGCTCTGCATCGCCTATTATTCGGGCTCTTAACTGGGCTACTATTAACACATCTATAGCCGCAATCGCCTGTCTCACCCCTGCAAATGCCTCACATGTCCCCATGACACCCCTCCATAACCGCCACACCCCCTCTCTCCTCACGGCTCCAATCCTGAACTCATCCCTTCCCCCTCCTGCCAACGACACCCAATCCGCCCGGGCATCCATGAATGCTACACCCTTGGCCCCTGTAACGACCCGAGCACTACAAAATGTACTAACCCATGCTGAGCGTATCCGTATTGTCACATGGATGGTTGACGCCGCAAGCACAGATGGCGCGAAACACATTGCATCGCGTGCCATTCGTCGCTTCCCCATGCTGTTCAGAGGTAACGCAAAGGCGAACAGCGGGAAGGCGAGCAGGCTCTGGGCGGCGCGAGAAGAATTTTTGTCCTATTCGAGAAGTGTGGACAACCGTGGCATACCCCTTTCGATAACCCGGGTCACAAGAGTGGGATTCAAACGAGTGTATATCAAGGCTCGGACGGGAAGAGGGCGCAAACGTGCCGTTTGGGTTGAAGCTCTGCATATTGCGCTTCTGGAAGATTTTGATAGGTTGCGGAAGACGGGATTGAAATTTCAGTGCTAAGTTGCTACGTCATCTCGCATTGAATCTCGTGAAGGAGTCCAGAAATGTAGATTATCATACAAATATGATAGACGAAAAATCGCAAAAATCAATTGTCGATATGATAACTGCACGTTGGGTACAGGGGTTCATGAATTGATATTACATTGTCAGCAGAGCGCAAACTGGGAAACTTATGGTGTCAGCAGCGAAGCAGGCACAGATTGAGCGAGATGTTGCGTTCCACCTCGGAGTCGTTGCTAGGGATTTTCGCTCGGGTGCTATTGACGAGAATGATATCTGTAACGCAGATGAAACGCACTTCCTTATCAACCTCGATAACCATAGGACATTGGGGAGGTGTGGCGACTCAGAGGGTAAATATTCTGATGTTGTCTCTGGCTCTGAGGGAATGACTATGATGGTAAGGATTTCAGGTGGTAGGGACGCAATTATTGAAGTTCCGTTTATGATTTTCCAAAACGCGAATAAAAGTTATCCTATACAACAGGTTCCTGACAATGTCCCCGGGGTTTCGTACCGTTCTGGGCCTAAAGGTTGGATGGATAGAACTGTCTTCCCCCAGTACCTCTCCGAGAAAAAGGTCATCCGGCCTCTTCCTCATGGCCGCAAGCGTATTTTGTTTGCAGACAACTGCAGTCGACATGGAGCATCTCTAAATTTAGCGACGGCATTGAATTCTATCAACACTGAAGTGCGGTTTTTCCCACCCAATGCCACCGATTTGATCCAGCCAGCGGACTCATTTGTTATTCAAAAATTAAAGGATGCATGGAGGTCGCGTTGGGATAAGTACAAGATGGAGGTGATCATGAAGGACGGGTTTGCGCCGGGTTCAGGGAAAAATCCTAACCCAGGCAAATACTTTTATCTTCGTCTTGCTGCCGCTGCAGTTCGCGAGGTCAATGCTATGCGCGACAGAGACGGCATTCGTTTCGCACGAAAGGCGATGATACGGACTGGTCTTGCTTTAAATATCAATGGGCAGTGGGAGGAACGACAGCTTTTCCCGAAGCTGCAGGAGATTGTTAACAAATACCGAACACACTTTGAGGGAGCACCAGTTGTTGATGACCTATAAAGAGAATAACTGTCGACGAGGTATGTTGCTCGTGATTTGATTGGCCCAGTAAACGAGGTAATAGTGTAGCCTGCACTATTGTAATATATTTAAATAATTAGTCTATGCTAATTGCGTTTGTCCTGCATATAGTGTCGTTGCACATATTAGCATAGGCTGCAGTAAAATCAGTGAGGGCCTGTTTTGACGTTGAACTTTGAATAGTATAGCCTAGACTATTTGCGATATTCGGGTGTAAAGGTTTTCAGGGTGTCCTTACAGTTCAGTGCGCACTGTATGTAGCAGCCATGTCAAAAACTTTACAGAATCACTCGAGCCTCCGAGCGACCAAAACGGCGAGTCGCCCGACGTTGGTGCGCTACCGCTTTTCTACACATTATCTTACCTCCTGACCTTCCCATTTGCTACGCTTCTCTGTTAGACTGGCTTGGCATCCTTTGTCAGCGAAGACACATCTACATTCTTCTCCGACATGAGCTTTGCAATTGCGTCCTGGCTTCCAATCGTCATGTATACGGTCCGCATGCAATTTTCGTAGTGCTCATTTCGTTCGCAATCTTTTCCGTGCCAGTTGTGCTGCAACCCGGGCTCCAGCGTACGCAGCACTGCGTACTTTTCATTGTCCCGGAATTGGTTGTATATAAACACGTCTTCCGAGCCCCACCCTGTGAAGTCGGTTTCCTCATTGCCGCCAAACCCGCCAACCTTACTAAAATCCCCTTTGTACATGCACGCCATTCCATAGCTGCTCCGCCGCCACAACCCGTCCTTGCTCGACAACGATTTACCGTATGGGTATAGCGAAAACATGATCGGGAACCACACCTGGTATCCTTTAACGATATTGACGCGACAATTTTGCAAAAAGTTACCGCCAATAGACAGGTCAGCGTCAGACATGAAGATGACGTCATCTTCGGGGACTGTCTTGGCGGCCTCGCGCATGGCGACGGCCCTCGAAAAGTTGCCCAATTCGTCCCCATTCGACGTGATAATCGCAAAGCGTTCCGCCGTGAGCTCCGAGCGCTCCTTTGCCGCCTTGGCGACAAAGCTCTTCTCTTCCTTGGTGGTGGACACGACTACCTTGACGAGATCCGTCTTGGCTGCCTTGAAGTAGTCAGCAAACATGTTGAGAAATGCGGCCAAGCGATGCGGGCGGTTAGAATAGGCAAGCAGCACATGAATTTTGACCATCTCCCTCGGCCTCGTGAACGAGACTTCGCACGGCCGGCCGTAGCCGCTGCTGACGGTGACGACTCTCCGGGCACGGCTGACCTGGCCCGTCTCCGTCTTGTTAATGGAGCCTCCAATGTTAAGAATGATCTGTGTGCCGTCGCGGCGGGTGGTACGAATGTAGGAGATGGGGACTTCGACGTCCTTGAGCACGCCACCAGCATCCTTCTCTACGACAGCTGTCGCCACGGTGACAGCATCCTCCAGCTGCTTGTCCAGCCCCGCGCCCAAGGAATCCACGGTCTGCACGGCGGGGCGGTCGGGGTGGAACAAGTATCGCTTGCGATCGATGGTGGCGAAGGTGTCCTCAAAGTCACGCGGCTGCTTGGCGCTCTTGCGGCCGTCGATCTCCTTCTGATCCGGGCCGCGGCGGAGGCTCTGGTGCATCACGGCGTGATCTGGGTCGACCATGCATTTCTGAAAGAAGGGGTCGGAGACGTCGTCGACGATGACGTACTCGCGCTCGTCCGGGCGGTTGAGCGGGTGCTCCTTGTCGATGATCTCGGAGCGCTCGCGGTAGTACTGGGGCAGGGCGGCAGGGTCGAGCTGCTTGCGGAAGTGTGCGGCGGCGTGGGTGTAGCGCGTGAGCCCGTCCGGGGCCAGGGTGTCGCCCGTCTGGGCGGTGAGGACGAAGAGGAAGGCGAGCGAGGCGGCCAGGAGGAGGAAGACCAGCGACTGGCGCGACAGCGGGAGGCGCTTGATGAGGGCCGGCGAGTGCTGCGAGGACGGCATGGGGCGGAAGGACTTGCGGCGCGACGCGGACGGCGGGAACGGGGCGAAGACGGTGGAGGTTGCGGGCGGGTGCGGGGCGGGGCGGGAGAAGCGGCGTGGTTGTGACGGGTGTTTCATGACGGAAGGCGGGATGGGGCGGCGGCGGGCGAAGGGCGAAGCGAGGAAGAGGGGAAGGTGCGGCGGAAGGAGGAGAGGATTTCGTGGAGGTGAACGTGAGAAGTTGGCATAGGTGAGGGGTGACGGGATTGGGTGTAACGCTGCGGGGGGATGAGGTAAGGGAAGCGCGTGAGAGGAAATTTCGGAAGAGAGGAAGTTACTCACGGCGGGGGCCGTACAGTAAGGAGAGGAGGAAGACTGCCTCAAGGGCGTCACTGGTGAACCGCTTTACAGAAATCCACGACGAATGGAGGTCTTTCAATGAGCAGATCGCGGGCGCTGCTTACACCGCAGACTGCCGAATTACCAGGGAGCAGCCGGGGCAGTCACGGCGGCCATCGCCGCGGGAATTCAAAAGCGGCTTCACAGGGGCGTGAGGTGTAAACCTCGAGACGCACGGGGAATCGTCCAAGTGTCTCGCGCCATAATGGCGCGCACTCCCCCGCCTCGGCTGCGCCCGCATTGCTGTTCGCCCTGTTGCATGCGGCGGCCGCCCTTCCGCCCTTCCGCGCATCCACGCAGACGCTAACAAAATATCGTCCTTCCTTGACCTCTTCCGTTTAATGTTTCAATCTCATTACTGAACTAAGTATCCTTCTTTGTTGGGGCCTCTCGCCCCTAGGCCAGGCTGTCTATAGCCTCGGAGGTGCCTCGCGCACCTCCCAAGAATCCAGGTACATAGCTCAGGCTCAGGTGAGCATTGTTGTCGCCGCGCATTACAGCTATATCATTGTCAGACGCCCACGCCGTCGGCCACGCAGACAGAAACGCCGACAGACAGAAACACATCCGGCTCTGGCAAGCGCCTCCGTCTACAGTACATCGCATGGACCACCGTCACTGTAACGCTGCCACACGCACACGTGTGCGCCTCCACCGGCATGCGCGCCACGCAGAGGCAGCGACTGCATCTTAAAACCACGTATCCGCGCCCGCAGGCCCAAATTCAGAAACGTGGCAAATTTGCTCGGAAGAGATTCTTTGTTGACAATGCCTGACATCAGGCATTTCCAAAAACGACCGGAAACGACATGCACGTCTCACTAAAACACATCCTTCCTGCACAAGTCAAGGGCGGCGGCGAGTGCATTTTTCTGCTTCTCCAGAAAACAAAGGTCGGGTCATTTTGACATGTACAGTAGTCTCTACTGTGCATGACAAGTCATCTCAAACGCGGCCAATTGTTCAAACTCACAATGCATGACGCACTACAGTAGTCTTGAGACGCATCCATTTGTTGTCGGAGCCCATCGCTCGTGATTAGCTGCGTCCGTTTTTTCCCGATGCGCGCTCCAGAACGAAACATCTTCTTCGCCCATGCTCACCCCTGCTCCTACGATGAGATGATGACCAAATTTTCTGTCCGGGTCTTGTGACCCACTCGCGACGTGACGGTTTACCGCATCATCTCTGAGTAACGTGATGATATACCCCGTCCACAGCCACTGTAGACCCTTGAATCATTTTACCGTATGCGCTACTCTACTGTGTCCTCATATCGACACATCCCCCTTGTCTCCCTCCCGGTCTCCCGGTCTCCCTACTCAGTCCAAGTTGCATCCACAACTCAAATCATCGTCTCCCTACTTTTCTGTTTCGCCACTCTTTTTCTGCCTCAGTTGTCCAACAACAACATTTCGATGTCGCTGACTTGAATTTTAGGTAGTGGCACAGGCGACACAAGTTCCCTGCCCGCCCCGGGCGTGACTAGATCCACGTACTGCAGCCGCGACTCTTGGTTGAGAATCCACAGGCGCTTCATTTTCTCGTCGAAGAGCACCGCATTATTCGCAACGCCGTTTTGGATGTATCGATGTGGCATGGCTTTCTTGTCCAGCCTACCCATCACTCGTGCACCGTAGTAAATTGATTCTCCATTCTTCAAACTCAACCCCAGGGGAGTACCCCAGTCGTCCATGTGCACCCGTTCACACGCTTCTGGCTGCCAGTTCCACTCATTCCCACTAACTCCTGCAGTTTGGAGAAGCGTCATTTGCATGGTAAACTGCCCCAACTGCGGTCGGAATATCACATCGATCGTGTTATCTATGAGGAATTCAAGTTTTTCAATGGACGCATTCACAAAGTTTGGGAAGTCTGTCTCGGAGATACCAGGTACGCGCTTAGCTCGCGTCCATCCACTCCTGCCGATCCGATGCGCAATGTAGATGTCTGTCTTGCTTAAATCATCGTCAAAAAAGTTTCGATGACGCACTGTGTATGCAATGATCCGGCTATCGGTACTGACAGACACATGCTCCACAACATCCGCGTTGTCCTGAATATTGATATACAAGCTCGGAATGTCTTCAAGTCCAGGAGCCCAAACCATTTGCATCGCTTCATACCTCGTGATAGGGTCACATAGATTTCGGAAGCGAATCCTGTCTGGCTCTACTGTCACAAGCGTTTCCTTATCCCATGACAAGCAGTACGCATTGACTTTTGCGCAAAGTCCCGATTCCATCCCTTTTTCGAGATTTCCAAACTGGTGTGGTACTCCGTTCGACACGCACAGTTGATTTTTCGATGCTGAAAAGAGTTCCGAGCCGTCCTCGCTAATGGCCAGTCCTCTGATGCTGGACTCATGTAAGCGAAAAGGCTTTCCAATTCTTGTGCCGCTGCTCACATTCCAATACTGCACAGACTTGTCGACCCCTCCAGAGTACAGAACGCGGTTGTTATGACTGAAGAGAATAGCGGAGACCGCACCTCGGTGTCCAACTAATGTCTTCTTTACCATTCCAGTTGCTGCATTGCAGATCTGCAGTTTCCCATTTGCCATAGCAAAAGCTACGAGACTACCATCTCCACTCACTGCCATACGGTCCACTCTACCATCAATTGATGTTGCAAAGCCGTGGCTCTTACCAGTCTTCGTTTCCCATTTCCGAACATAGCCTTCGGAACAAAGTGAGAAAAATGTATCTTCATCTCGGCCTGCGCAGATAGCCATTACAGGCGAAGGTTTGCCCTGCACCTCGTCAAATGCGTCATCCTTGTCGGGAAGACCCACATGAAAAACGCTCGTCACAATTTCCCACGTTGTCAGGTCCAGTACCATTATCTTCCCTTGATCTGAACCAAAAGCAATCATGTTCTTTCCAACAATGGCCATGCATTTTGCGCGATGACAGCCTACAAATGGCATACATTCACGTACTCGGTTTTGGCCACGCCAAACTACTGCCATTCCTTTCGCAGAAAGAACGATAACCTCGTCTGCATGTGTCAAAAACGAAATGACCCAATCTCTGGCTGTCCAATCACTGCTCTTGCGCTCAAATGGCCATCTGATGTCCAAATCCGAATCCCCATATAGATGCGAACGAGATTTTCTACGACCGCTATAGCTGTCAAGAACTTCGATGTTTGCTTCACTGCTTGATGTCTCTGCATGAGCGACTAGGACTTCATCCTTCCTCGGAGAGGATGCCATGGCTTCTATTGGGGTGACTGTATTCAAAATGCGCTTCAGACTCTGATCGGGACTGTCCAGCATTCCCTCCATGGGGCGACACCATGGCCGCTGGGCGTACTTTTCGACACTATGTAGGCACCAATCAAACAGACCCGTCTCTCCATTTGGCGTGCATAGTCGACCATGAAGCTGGTAAACACATTCATTTCGATTCGACGCGCATGCCGGCATGATCATTTTAAGCACCTCGATCAAGTATTCGACATCATTCTCGACTGCCGCCAGGGAGCATTCTCCGCTGGATATACGGAAACGCTTGTCCCTTCTCTTTATAAACGCAGAAATTGTACTTGCGTCGTTGAGTAGTTGGTGGAAGGGTGTATGTGTCTTGTCGAAGTTAAGTGTCTCAATGCGCTGGTAGTCCAAAAGTACCTCAATTGCAGTGGTTATTTCCTGTGCAAGCGTGAGATGGTAAACTATGTTATTCAGCATGTATGTATCGCTCATGACGTTATCGTCTACCCAAAACTGAGCATCATCGTCTTTTGCAGGGGCCCCGCGAGAGGAGAAACGTTGTCTACTTGTCGAGAGAAGTTTTTGATGCCAAGAAGAAACACTCCTAGTATTCTCCGCATTGTGGACTGCACAGGCATGAATCATATCATGCATCTTGTAAGATGCGCTGGGCTCATCATTGTTGGAGTCAAGACGGTAGATGAGGTTTCTGAAACACAGTAGGTCGACAACAAGTTGGGCTTGGTCAATTGTTACTCCCCAGACCGCAGACAGAATATGGAGCGGGATTTCAGTGCCCCTCTTGAATACACAGAAGGAACAGAACAATTCTTCTGGAACAATCATCAAATGGTTTGGCCAAATTGGTTTGAGAGTTGCAATGCTTGACATGACCACTTCGTACACAGCGGCGTGGCCGTGGGAGAGATTCGACGGTGCTACTGATCGGCTCATGGCGTCCCAGTACTCAACCCAGAGAGTGTCCTGAGAAAGTGAGCATGTTTGCAAAGACTGAAATGCTCTCCCAGCTATGCACAACGTCAACGGAAGCCCTGCACATTTCTCCAAAATCGCAGTGGCAGCCTGTAAGTTCTCGTGAGACATGGCTTGAAAGTTATGGGGACCAGCAGCACCAGCGTGTTTACAAAAGATGCGTTTCGCAAGTGACCCAGTCGGGGGATGTGGGTGTAGCTCAATCTCTGGAGCATCCATGATGTGGTGACCCGAAGTGGATATCAAAAGCTTGAACTTCGTGTCACAATTCCTCACAGACACGACGAGGCCCTGAATGAACCTGTACATGCTTCCATCTCTAGGAGAGACATCGTCCAAAATAAGTAACATCGGTTGGCTAGACTTGTTCAGTACTTCCGCCAGACAAAGTATGGCTTTGCGTTGAGATGTTTCGTCTAGGGCAGAAGCGACAAAGGCGTTTGCCCATGCAAGATTGGTGTGGTTTTGAACGAAGCGGACGAGTTCCATAATGAAAGCGGGATAGGCCTGTTGCCCTCCTAGCTCAATAAAGGTCATGGCGCCATGGAAGTTGCGCTTGATGACGGGGTCTCGTGCAATCGAGCGCAGAGTGGTTGATTTTCCTACCCCTCCGGGGCCGATGAGGGCAATAGCATTGAAAGCTGGAGAAGTTGACTCGAGAAACTGCCTCACCCGAGTCTCTGCTGTCTCTTCTGAGTCAGGACTTGCCGGCTCAATTTGCATATCTGGAGCTCGCGGCGGGGAAGGCGCAGTAGGTTGAATTGCAACGATGCCGCTCATCTCGGACTGAAGTACGATAGGCAAGCAAGGGCCCGACTTCTGTTGTAGAGCAGCTTGCCCTGCTTCGGATTCATCCAACGAGAAAGAATTTTCTAAACCTGTTCCCAGAGAGATGATCCGCTGCTAATAAGTCCGTGAAAAATAATTCACTGATGAACCCTCCCTCTTGTTGGAAGAGCAACAAGGTGCACCCCTCAAAGGCAGCCGGAGCGAGTCCTCGAAGGATGACATTGCTTTTTTTTCAAGTCTCTGATCCAGACAATGGACATAATTTCAGCCGCTGCGATTGGAGGTTACCATTGCCAAGGAACCCTCTCAAAATTCCCGTTTTTCAGTAATAAGTAGGCCTGTTATGGCCACTCTTCTTTCTACACGTGTCTACTGCTTGCACCATATTTGCAGTGAAAAAATTAGCTAAATTACTTCATTCCGAAGCCTTCGTCGGCCGAGCATGCCTCCAACGCCGGCAACGTATCCACACGTACTGTACGTGTAGTTGCACACTGCTTAGAGAACCATCCTGTTCTTCCTCTTCGCGCGCGGCAGGTTTCTATACCGCCAGCATCATGTCAAAACAGCCCGCAAGGTCGGATGCCGTGGCTTCCGAGCGCGTGGCCTTCGGCACTGGCGCGTCTGGCTACGATGCAGACTTATACGATGACCTTGGACCGAAATCGCAACGCCAAGGATACGTCACATCCATTGATCCCGTCACCAACTCGGCAGACGACCAGGATGCTCTGCAAGTTGCGCAACAACATGCAATTGACCCAAGAAGCTTCCCCATCACCGCTCCGCGCCATCTTATCGACGAAGCCGAAGCTGCCGCGGCAGTCTTGCATACGGACGATCCTTTCAAGCCATATGTACCGAAAACCATCGCGGAACAGGAAAATTCATATTTAGCTGGCAGAAGAAAAAGGCTACAGACCGCGGAGAAAGGTGAGGCCGCGGAAAGGATGAAGCAGCGCATATGCGAGCGTGAAGAGGCTCAGCGTATACAATCAGGCGCGTCCGCCGACGATAAGGGCAACACCGCTAACCCGTCACAGTCTACCCATGTGAGCAGTGCTTTGAATTCCAGTTCAGCGACGGAATTACCGAAACCGCGACAGAAGCGCCGCCGCCGCTGGGATGTGACTCCCGAGATTGTTGCAGAGGAGGTCCAAGGACAGGCCCCGTTCGTAGCACCTGAGTCCATGATGGATCTGGCTGTGCCTGTCGAAGACTCGCTGCCCCCGTCAGCTGAAAGACCACCGACAGTGCCGGCTGTGCCCGTGAGGACATCTCGATGGGATGCACCCGCTTCTGCGACCCAACCGCTGTCGAGGTCGCGATGGGACGCCACGCCAGCCTCCATGTCTACTACCCAGGGCCCCGCGAAGAGGTCGCGATGGGATAGGACACCAAATGTGCAGTCTGCATCGATATTCCAAACTCCGATGACAAAAACCGGGTCCGCTATATTGGATACACCCATGCTGGGAAATGGATCGCTTGCGCCAGAGCTGCTTCATGCTTCAAGATGGCAAGCAGATATTGACATACGAAACAAACCGTTCACAGATGAGGAGCTTGACAGAATGTTACCTTCAGACGGATACACAATCCTTGAGGCTCCTGAGTCATACAAGCCGATACAGACGCCTGCTCGCAAGCTGCTTGCAACCCCGGTGATGTCCGAACCCTCCGTCTACGTCATGCCTGCTGAAGGAGGGATGTCGCGGGAGGGACTTGGTATTCCAGCAGAAATGCCAGAGGCATTACGGGGGTTGGATATGAAGCCAGAAGACTACACAAACTTTGCAAGCATCCTCGATAAGAATGCAGGAGACGATGACATCCCCGAAGAGCAAAGGGTGGAAAGACGAATCATGCGACTTCTCTTGAAGATTAAGAACGGGGCGCCATCTGTGAGAAAAGTGGCAATGCGTCAGATATCTGAGAAAGCCCGAGACTTCGGACCTGCACGTCTTTTTAATCAAATCTTGCCTCTCCTTATGTCGCCTACCCTCGAACATCAGGAACGGCATCTTTACGTGAAAGTCATTGATAGAATTCTTTACAAGCTGGATAATCTCGTAAGGCCGCATGTGCATAAGATTCTTGTTGTTATTGAGCCGATGTTAATTGACGACGATTACTACGCTCGAGTCGAAGGACGCGAAATCATATCGAATCTAGCCAAGGCGGCAGGGCTGCCAACGATGATTAGCACAATGCGACCAGATATTGACCACCAAGACGAATTTGTACGGAATACGACTGCGAGGGCATTTGCGGTGGTTACTTCTGCCCTTGGGATTCCGTCGATGCTCAAGTTTCTAAAGGCAGTCTGCCGAAGCAAAAAAACGTGGGAAGCGAGGCACACAGGCACGAAAGTAGTCCAGCAGATTGCGATTTTAATGGGGGTCGCCGTTCTTCCGCATTTGCGAGAGCTGGTCGAAATCATTGAGATAGGTTTGACTGACGAACAGGGAAAAGTGCGTCTAATTACAGCCTTTGCTCTGGCAGCTTTGGCAGAGGCTTCCGCACCCTATGGGATTGAATCTTTTGATTCTGTATTGAAGCCTCTGTGGCAAGGAATTCGATTGCATAAGGGCAAAACGCTGGGGGCTTTCTTGAAAGCGATCGGGTTCATCATCCCATTAATGGATCCCGAATACGCCAATTACTATGCGAGGGAGGTGACAACGATTCTAATACGAGAGTTCCGCTCTCCAGAGGAAGAAATGAAGGTGATAGTTCTGAAAGTTGTGATGCAGTGTGTGTCTTGTTCCGGTGTTGAGCCAAAATATGTCCGTGAAGAGATCGTTCCAGAATATTTTCGATGCTTCTGGATTCGACGGATGGCCTTAGATCGGCGTAACTTTCGGGCGGTTGTCGACACAACATTGCAGATAGCCATCAAGATTGGGGGGGGCGATGTTATCGCGCGATTAACGGACGATTTGAAGGATGAATCTGACCCGTACCGACGAATGGTAGTCGAAACAATTGAGAAAGTGACGGAGAAACTCGGTCTTTCTGACGTTGACAAGGGACTCGAATCTCGCTTAATAGATGGACTTCTATACGCGTTTCAGGCACAAGGCCATAGCAATGAGAGCGGTGGTGTCTTGCGCGCTTTGTCCATAGTTGTGGAAAGATTGGGGATACGTGCTAAATCGTACTTGGAACAAATCATTGGTATTGTTAAGTGGCGATTGAACAACCCGAGCACAAGGATTCGGGAACATGCTGCAGACCTGATATCTAGAATTGCGGCGGTCATGAAAGCTTGCGACGAGGAACCACTGATGGCCCACATGGGGACGGTGTTATTTGAATATCTTGGCGAAGAATTTCCGGATGTCTTAGGATCCATTCTGAGGGCAATGAAAGCTATCGTGGAGGAGATCGGCATTGATCAGATGCAACCACCGGTAAATGAGCTACTGCCTCGTCTCACGCCCATCTTGAAAAATAGACACGAAAAGGTGCAGGAGAACTGCATCCTTGTGGTTGGAAGGATCGCTAGCAAAGGAGCACATTTTGTTTCTGCCAAAGAGTGGATGCGCATATGCTTTGAATTGCTTGAACTGCTCAAAGCACCGCGCAAAGCAATTCGCAAGTCAGCGGTTTCCACGTTCGGATTCATTGCGAAAGCGATTGGCCCCAGTAATGTGTTGACGACCTTGCTCAATAATCTTAAGGTTCAGGAAAGAACGCAACGCGTCTGCACAACGGTCGCGATTGCAATAGTTGCCGAGACATGTGAGCCCTATACGGTGTTACCGTCACTGATGAATGAGTATAGAATTCCCGAACTACACGTTCAAAATGGCATACTGAAGTCGCTCTCATTTCTCTTTGAGTATATTCGCCACATGGCCGGGGACTACATTTACGCCGTGACGCCAATCCTTGAGGATGCATTAATTGACCGAGATCTTGTTCATCGACAAACAGCGTGTTCAGCCGTGGGCCATCTGGCATTGGGTGTGCGAGGTCTTGGAGCAGAGGATGCTTTGACCCATCTATTGAATCATGTTTGGCCGAATATCTTCGAGACAAGTCCCCATGTAATCAACGCTGTGATGTTCGCCATACAGGGTCTTACGGCTGCCCTGGGTCCAGGGCTTATGCTCCTCTACGTCCTGCAAGGGCTATTTCATCCTGCCCGGAAAGTACGGGAAGTATACTGGCGAATATATAATAGGCTTTACATTTACGCACAAGAGGGTCTTGTCCCGTTCTATCCAAGCATGCGATGTGCCTTGCTCGAGGAAGACGACGACGAATACGGGCCAGAACGATACGAACGCTCAGAGCTTTTGAATATCATTTAATACAACGGCGTTCTGGCTGTAGCGCAATGCGCGCCACTGACCAGCCCTAACCATTTTAAGGGACGCACCTTCAACGAAAATCTGGGCACATGTTAGCACTGGAAGTAGGTTGCGGTGGTAGAAGGCTGTATTGTACATTTGAGGAAGAGAACAAGCATTGGTTGATTGGACTTCGTGTAAATATAACAAACTAAAGTCTAGAGAACGGCAAACGACTCCGGGTCAATCATCAGAAGTGCGTCCTCTTCCTGGCCCATAGTGTGTTTGTGGACGATTTTGCCAAGAGCTTCTCTTTCCTGGGCAAAAACCTTGTCAGGTGCCATATTGAGTGAAATTTGCGAGGCAACGCTTGGAACAAAGACGAAGTCATCAGAGTGTCCTTTCGAAATTAACGAGAGCAAACCACCATTCCCAAACATGCTAAGAAGGTACCAACTAAGAGCACTGACGTAGCTCACATCCAAATTTTGTCCCGCTAGCTCTATACCGCTCTGTAGCATTGGCCGAAAGCGGGGCGTTAGCGTGAAGGGAAGGCGACAAACAGCCATTCCAGCGAACATATATCGCGCCCATGTGCCCATCACCATGTGAGGCACGATAGCCATGACGACGCTCATAATCTGATTCGCAAGACTCTCTGGATTCATAATGGCTGTCAACGCAGATTTCTCCTTCTTTGCGACATGAAGCACACCTTCTGGGCCTGCAAGGTATTGTCGGCGAGCGGCGAATTGCTCATATGCAATCGCGGAAAAGTTTTGACGCAGTTTCACTGAACGTTTGAGATAACCAGCGTCTCGATGCTTGAAAAGAGTCGTAGGGGGCTCTTTCGTCATGAGGGCTGTTACGTTTCGACGGACAAGCCCCATGAGAAGGGTTGCAATCCAGATGGGAAGAAGGACCCATACACGAAGCAATGGATCAAGCGGTATATCAATGGATGACGGATCTGGTTCTGTCATTGTGCCAAGAACACTAGAGCCTAGACACACAGCAGCAAAGCCACTGCACCATTGACGGCAGACAACGGCACCTCACTATTCTAACAACACCGTGGACATCGCACGGGGGAGAGGGCGTCCTACACATGCCTACAAACCCCACTAACAAGGGTGATTTTGAGAAATCAAAAAATTAGGCGAATACTGGCACAGCCAGTTTCCACTGCCAACTACGCAGTAGTACTCCAGGGCAGTGCCTTGATGCTTCACATCTCAACCACACTCTCTCTCGAAACAACAAGAGAGTAGCAACGCGAAAAAGCCTCTCAACGAGGTATCTCTCGGCCTTTTCCGAAAAATCCCATTGACAAACAATGTAGCCAGTTCAAAGAAGAGCCTCACTAACGTAGAGAACTGCTCCTTGTCCCTCTTCATCAAATCCTTTTTGCTCAGGAGCTCCCCTTCATAGAGCCCGGTATCAGTTGTTAAGTGGGCACTCTAAAGAAACAAAGGCAACACGAAAAAAAGAGCGGAAAGCAGCAGCGGTTTTGACAGTCTTTATAGTTCGAGAGCTTTTCTAGCCATAATGTAGCTTCGTGCTTCTTTCCAAATAGTTCCACTTCTAGAACGATCGTACATCTGTGCCAATCGGAAACGTTTGTGAGCTGCCCTGCAAATTCAGCTGAAAACACTTTCTGCGGAACAAAGAAGCAACGTCAGATACTTGACTTATGTAGCAACTTTCCGGCACACGTCGGAAGGTTTAATGTGAGGTTTTACGGAGTGACTTGATGACATTTAAAGGTTAGGTAGGTGCTGGAGAGGAAGTGCACCCCCGTCAGAAGAATACGTCTAACAAGTATTCAGGTAATCGATCTGCAGAGCTGTTCGGGGCATCCTCATCCTTGTACCAAAACTCGGAGGCTGAAGTAATTTGTGCTCACGGTTTAAAGCTTAGTTAAATTAATTGGTTCGCATCTGTCGCGGCTGATCCCCCGTATTTATAATCAGCCTCTGGAACATTTATACAGGAAGACAATTTGTGAGGCCCTCAACGCCAGACATCAGTATCAGCTCTACCCTGAACAGTCTGAGTGAGAAAAAAGTGCCAAGCAGAGGATCATGTTTCTGATCATGCCGAGGATGGTGCTCTGTCTGTAAGCTAAGCTTTCAACAGATATTCGAGTCTATCTGTTCTAGAGTATCAACGAATTGTGCCCCAGCGTTTCAAATTGTGTTTGAAACAGTATAGTGACCCCCCCCCCCCACTTAAACAGCGGAATTTCTGGCCCTTGCCCTTCGTAAATCATGGTACAGTACCTTCCTACACTTGAACTGCATGCTTCAAAATATATCATAGTCGTGCTACTCTAAACGAATGCAATGTAACTGTCACGTGAATATACTTGAGGGGAAGCTGAATGGCGCTGGTAAGTGGGTGACAAACGGCCTCAGACAAGATCACTTTTCAACTTCTTTCTTCTAGACTTATGTTGGCAAGATGCGAACTGGAAAAGTCTTCCCACCTCCGGTACTGAGTTCTGCGTTATGACAAACTACATCCTGGTTAGAAATTCACGTCCTTCCCAGTCTGTATTACGAAAGTCTATCGAAGAAGCCCTTTCGAGAATTCTTTAAACCTTGTTTCTTTGATGCCCTCGGAGCCAAAAGCACACTTTCATAAATCTAACTCACGGCATAAACTCCACTGAATTCTTTGTCTTTATAGCATTCAAAACTGTTTTCCCGTTGCTGTATAAGGTATTATTGCTGAGGGTCAGCACTCTACAGAAGTGGTGTCCCAATTGACGTTCTGTTTCAAGATTATGCATTTCTGCCACATAAAGGGCTAGTCCCATATGAGACATCGCTGTGAACATCGTCATTCTCTAAATGAAAGGTAACCCGGTCGAAGAGTCCTCCACACCTGGTCAATTCAGGGACTTGACCTGCAGCAGTGTAGAAGTGAAGGGGTCGCCACTATGGACATAGGTACAGTAGGGCACTGAACGCTTAAAGCACCACTATACATGCAGTGGCGTTCAGGATTCTACAGTATTATGTTTAGTGGGCATTGTATCGTCAGAGACAGCATGTACAAAGTTCAACAATTCCTCGCTATGGATAATTCCTCTATGAAGAGCACAGTCTTATTGCGACTCAGCTCCTTCTGCCTTCCTTGGATGGGAAGCGTTCCGAAATATCTTATTTTTTCTTCATTTTTTGTGCATGTCGACGATCACGACGTCAGCCGCCCGTATCAGCCAACCGTCTTGAAGTACCGTAGTTCTCTAACCCACCTCCTTGACAATTTGCGCTTGCGACCAGAGAGCTGAGCAGCGTCTTTTGAGAACTGCTATCTGATGATGCGATGAACCACGCGATTCTACGTCAACTTCCACGACTAGCCGCTTCGGTGATCAGGCCGAGGTCCTCCGCCTTCGCCGCTCATCGGCCAGCAGCGACACGGTTCTTTTCATCGACCCCTGCTCGAAATGTTGAAAGCCCTGGGGCTTCGAAAGGCCTGGGTATACCGCCGATCGAACCACCGACGAAGGCGCCGGAGCCTCTCACCTCTACACCGCTGATTACAGACTCCGCAGGTAGCGCGGAGGTGATTACCGCTGCCTCCGATGCCGCACCCTCCCTTACTGACGTCGCCACCTCTGCTGATGCCATTGCAGTCGAGGCTGTAGCACCATGGTCTGATACTCTGCTCCAGCCTGCCGTCGCTCTTCTGCATACCGTACATGACGTGACAGGTCTGCCTTGGTGGCTAGCAATCGGAGTGTCTACGATTGCAATCCGTTCACTTTTGCTCCCCGCAACTCTCATGACTATGCGGAATTCCGCGCGAATGACCGCTTTGAAGCCTGACATTGAAGAAAGGAGAAATGTTGTAATGGAGGCCGTTCGTTCAGGCGATCGTCCGCTCGCTGCAAAGCGTCAAAAGGAGATGCAAGACTTCATGCGCAACGCCGGAGCAACTCCGCTGAAAGTGCTTGCAGGACCTTTGGTACAATTCCCCGTCTTTATTTCGTTTTTCGTTGGACTAAAGCGGCTCTCTCAGTCGGATCCTACGTTTGCAACTGAAGGGGCAATGTGGTTTATTGACCTCTCTTCGAAAGACCCAATGTTTGTTCTCCCCGTGGTATGTGGTGCATCGCTCCTTGCCATGACAGAACTGGGTGGGGACACAGGGTCGACTCAAATGAGTAAGGAAATGCGCTTGGGAATGAGGTGTATTGCAGCTTTGTCAGTGCCAATGACATATTGGTTTCCAACAGCTGTGTTCTGTTACTGGATTCCCAACAATGTGTTTTCTATTATGTTGGGAGCGGCGTTGCGAACAAAGCCGACTCGGCAAATGTTAGGGCTGAACGTGGATGTATCCAAAATCCCCGGAACAAAAGCAGCAAGAGCACTAGAAGCAAAGCTGGCCGCGGAAGGGAAGGGCACGCTATCGCCTCAGATTTTAGATCCGACTTTAGCGGTGGCAAGCTATGCGAGAAGCTCTTCAGTGGTACCAAATGCACAGACTGTGAAACCGGTCTTGCTCAAGCGGAGACCCAAAAAGAAAGTGAAAGCCACCATAGACTAACAGACTTGTCATTTGAATTCAACTCCACAACTTGAGTGCTGACCACGCGGCCATACTACTGTGCATGTTTTGGGTTTCAGCAATTCGATGCAAGAGGCATGTACATAAGGGATCATCAACGGGCTTGCGAATGCCATCTTTCACAAGATTCACACTTACAATTAAGAAAAGCGCTGATGGTTAGATTTCGTCTTCGACATAGAGGAGATCCGCGCGAAAAAGCTGTTTAAGTGTGTTTCGAATAGATGGATGGGACTCTGCCATATTTGAAAGAGCGCAAGCATCAAGTAGTCGCGCCGAGCAGATTGCTTGTGCTATTTCGACGCTTTCCACTGCCCATTGCTCCCCGTCAATGTACATTGCGGTTCCCTCGTCATTCTCAAAATATGTAAACACAGTGCCTTCCTGTTGACGCAGTGCAATCTGGTTGCCATTCCGAAGAACCGTCTCTATTAACTCATCAGCCTTAGCATCGGAAAGTGGTTCAAAATCGGGCTCGTGGCCGCGAAAGCGTTTTGGCTGACTCACTTCCTGGGCGAACCAAGTGGAGAATCGCTTCCGCAAATGCTCGCCCCTCAAGAGTCTGTCCATCACACCCGCATAGGCATGCTCGACCGCATCAGTAGTAATCCGACCCGGATCGTCAGCGTTCTTCACAATATCGCTGGCAACATCTCCGAAGAACACATTATCCAAACCCTCCTGTTCCGCGACATCATCGACCCATCCTCGCATCAAGTCGGCAACCGTTGGTGCGCGAAAACCAACGCTGAAGGTCATACATTGGTCATCCAAAGACACGCCGTGATGCGGAAAGCGCGGCGGCACATACAAAACGTCTCCCGGATTGAGAATCCACTCCTCGTCTGCAGGAAAGCCATCCTTCAGTACCCGCACATCGCATGGCTCAACAAGAAGCTCCTCGGCTGCGGAAATCGGCGTGTATGCTGTTTGCCAGAGGCGCTGTCCCAAGCCCTGAACAAGAAAGACATCATAGTTGTCAACATGCGGTCCGACACCGCCACCAGGGGCGGCGTAAGATACCATGACGTCATCAACGCGCCAGTTAGGTATGAAGGAGAAGCTGTCGAGAAGTTGGGCGAGCTGGGGTACGAGACGGTTGGCGTCCTGCACGAGTAGGGTCCAGTTTTCTTCAGGAAGCTTTGAGAACTGGTCCTCCTCAAACGGGCCGAGCTTGAGTTCATACGGACCCGTGCCATTGCCGAGTATGAGGCGAGAATGAGAGCCTGGTTCGCAGGCTAAGCCGGCGAGTTCATCCGGGGAAAGAGGGGAGCAAAAATCGGGAAGGAGGTTGCGAAATAGGACCGGGCGCTTGCCCCAGTCGTTGGCGAGGAAGGCATCCCGGGTGCGGGGATCGGTAAGGAGGGGATGCGGGGCAGAGGAGGCGGACACGGCCATGCGCGCAGCATGGTGGCGAAGCGATTGGCGGGAGTTTGGAGGAGAGCGGACGAGCAGATGAGCGGGGGAAGTGCACGATCGATTCAAGGCAGATGTCAGCAACGAGAATGTGGGCGAATTGCAAATGAACAAAGTTGCGGGTGATTGCCCCTGCTTGGAGGCCATGGGGATATGGAACGCAGCGCAGAGGGAACGGGAAGGCCGCCGCACCACGAGAGAGCGTTGGGTGCGATGATCCTTGCGGCGGCAGATGTGAGATAATGGTCTTTTGCCGCGAATGCCGCTAATTTGATAAATTGTCACATGGATCAAAGCGGATCTCGGATAATAAAGCTCGTCCCGGAGTTGCTCAGGAAATGTTTCATGAAGCTTGATTTTCGTTGCACTGCCTGAGAGTGGTGACGAGTGAGCAATTACTGAGTATCAAGTTGGCCGTGGAATTGCCCTGGCTGCAAGGGACTTTGATACAGGATCTTTTTCATGCGAAAGGTGCAAATACGTACCATAGCAATATATATGCTGTATATATTGAAGATTTAGGTACGCTCCGACAAACGCATCAAGTGGGGGATGTGCTGGGTTATATCGTTGTGCTGACCATTACAAACATATTCTGTGAGCAAAACAGAGGTGAAATAGTGCGTTTGTTCGGAGGGTTAGAACACATTACACGTGAGTTGCCCCCTACTGCAATACATCTATACGCGGCTTCTGCGAACGAAGAAGCGGATAAAAGTAGCAGGCACATGTTACTGCGAGGTAATAAGGGAAGGAGATAATGTTTTCAACAGAAAGCAAGCACCAGAAAAGCAAACGACTCCACTCTACCTTCCCTCAATCGAGTCTACGCACAGCAAGGTCTCACCGTTACACACGCATAGCACTGCACATCATGATCTGGTCAATACAGGAGATAAGTTACTGTGAAGCACCCCGCACAGCTGTGCAGTGCCGGAGACATCTCATGCTAGAGTGGGAATGTAAGAACAGCACGTCCTGCACTACAAATTTTCCAACAAGACAGACTTCCCATCCTGGTTTCTGATTTTGATCACCTCTAAAAAATAAAGAGAGAACTATTTCACACGTGCCACTTCTGGTACTGTATGATACTGTAGCTGTACGTGTACAGTAAAAGTTTTGTTTGGTGCCGTCTTGAACCAGCGGAAAACAAGGAAACAGAAAACGGCTTCGGGTGGTCTCGCAGAGTGTCCCATGCACCGGCTGGGCCACAATCCATGGCGCGAAGCCCTTCGCATTAATATTTCCCTCCAAGTAATACTGTGCCCGGCAAGACAGACCTCCCCCTCACCTCCAACACAAGGTTGTAGACAAAGTCAATCCTTCCCCCCTCCCCCCCCTTCGATACACCCTCCTTGCCCTTTGTTCTGCTCTCCATCACTTCCGGTGTTAAGAACACCGTATCTCCACTCATCTCCTTTTTCCCTCTCGCAGACACGAGACCCATCTTAACTCTACAAAGAGAGCACGCCGACGCTCACACATCCGACTTTATTGGAAGTGCGTTCGTCTCCAGTCAACTACCGGCTAATTTTTCCCCTTGCTAATCCTCACTCTGGCAAGCGTCACCCCACCAAGATGGCCAGGCGCACCTCGGATCGCTTTGTCATCAACATGTTTCCACAACCAGTCCAAATGGATCCGCAATTTGCCGACAACATCTGGAGCACCATACGCCACGCGATTTCCGAAATTATGAACCGCAACATTTCCAACCTCTCCTTTGAGCAACTCTACCGTTTTTCCTACAACATGCTCCTGCACAAGCACGGCGATTTTCTATACAAGGGCCTGCTTGACCTCCTCACAGAGCACTTGCAAGGCGTCGCCGCTCTCATCAGCGACGCAGATTCCGAAGATTTCCTCCCGGAGATCAAGCGTCAGTGGGGCTGGTTTTCCCTCTCCCTGGCAGATGTACGCGACGTCCTCATGTACATGGACAGGCATTATGTCAAGAGCAAGCAAAAGAAAACTGTGCATGAGCTGGGCTTGTCCCTCTTTCGTGACGTCGTTATTCGCAAGTCTACCATTCTCCCACGACTCACGGGCACTTTGCTCGGTAGTATCGATAAGGAGAGGAATGGCGAAGCAGTGGATACCCATTTGATACGCGCCATCACGCGTATGCTGGCTGAGTTGGGCAACGACAAGCTTGGCAAGTCATTCTACGTCAATGTCTTTGAGGAAGATTTCCTTGAACGCACGAAGCGCTTTTACGCACGCGAGGCACGTTTGTACTTATCAGAGACTACTTGTTCGGATTACTTGAGAAAGGCCAATAAGCGCATCCAGGAGGAGCACATGCGCGTTGAATCTTATCTGGAACCGCGAACGGATTCTAGGGTTCGCAAGGTGGCAGAGGTTGAGCTCATATCCAAGTATATGACTCGTCTCGTCGATATGGAGAACTCCGGGTTGATTTGGATGCTGCGAAACGACAAGATTGCAGATCTTCGCCTGATGTACTCTCTTTTCCGCGACATAAAGAAGGGGGAGGAAACGTTGCGCACGAAGCTAAAGGACGAAGTCTTGGAACGGGGCACAGACCTTGTCCAGGATCCTGAGAACATCAGAGACCCTGCTTCGCTTATCAACGCAATACTTGCTCTCAAGGACAAGTACGACAAGATTATCAATTATGCATTCTACGTGCCCGCGACGGGTTCCTCTGAGGTTGTCACGAACGCGGCTGGCAGTACAAATAATGCCGTCGGTCATGCAGACCATGCAGGAGCAACGTTTGAGAAGCGTGCCTTTTCTTCCAGCGGAAATGAGGCAGCGTTGAATGTGACTACGTCGGATTCATCGGTTGCACGTTCGTCTATGCCCACTAGTGGAGCATCCATGTCAATTACTGGCGCGACGAACGACACTGCTGTTGCGATTTTGCCGTATGCCGATAAACATCCCGACAAGCGATTTGTTTCTGCCGTCAACGAAGCTTTTGAACGTTTCATCAACAGTTTTTCGAGGGCGGCGGAATACATTTCACTCTATGTTGACAGGCTTCTACGAAAGGATCTGAAGGGCAGCAATGACGATGAAATCGAGGACAAGCTGGATGCCGTCATGACACTGTTCCGCTATCTACATGAAAAGGATGAGTTCGAGAGGTACTATAAGCAGCACCTCACAAAGAGGCTCCTCCATGCTCGGACGGCTTCCTCTGATGCCGAGCGAAGCTTTATCAGTAAGATGAAAACAGAGTGCGGATACATGTATACTTCTAAAATGGAGGTCATGTTCAACGACATGAAAACTAGTGAGGAAACGTCGAAAGCATTCAAGTCAAAGATTATAGCAGAACACACAGACATGCGGGGGATTGATCTTAGCGTTGCAGTTTTGACGACGATGAGTTGGCCAGTGACTACCGCACCTGACGTTGTCCTTCCGTCTGCTGCAGTGCATTGCACGAACAAATTTGAGGACTACTATTACGGGCAGCACGAAGGGAGGCGACTGACATGGCAAAATTCTCTAGGAACAACTGAAATCCGGGCTAGATTTAAGGACAGGTCACGGGAGTATGATTTGTACTCGGTTTCAGTATATTCAATGTGCGTACTGATGCTTTTCAACGACGCTGACTGCTTGACATACCAGCAGATAGCTGATGCAACAAGAATTCCGGAAAAAGACCTCATTCGCCATTTGCAGAGCGTGTCCCTAACCAAATACCGAGTGCTCAGGAAGGATCCTCTAGAAAAGGACGTGAAACCAACAGATAAATTTTATTTCAACGATGACTTTTCCTGTCGCAGCAGACGGGTCAAGATGCAGGTCATTTCAGCTAAGAAGGAGGATGAAAGGGAAAGAAATCAAACGAAGGGACGAATTGACGATGACCGTCGACCAGTCATCGACACGGCCATAGTTCGCATCATGAAGCATCGGAAAGTGCTCGAACATAACAAGCTCATCGTGGAGGTGACGTCACAACTAACATCAAGTTTCGAACCGAACCCACAAGACATCAAGAAGAGAATAGAAAGTTTAGTGGATCGAGAATATTTGGAGAGACAGAAGGACAACCGGCAAGTGTATCAGTACCTCGCATAGGAGGAACAGCTGGAGCTGACTTCGTTTCGCATTGTATAGTTATTAGGGCCGCTGTGGTAGCTCGCTAGGAGGTGGCGATTATGAGCAAGTTGCTTCAGTGACTGATTCCCATGTGTGCAATTTTGAGAGTGCCTCGACTCTTGATGCATTCTGGAATTGCGCAAGGTTACTAGGGGTATTAAACATCGTCAAGCCATTTGTCGAAGTCGTCTGCTTCGTCAGAAACACTATCAACGGCCACAGAATTCTGTGGTTTATCTTCATTCGCACTCGCAGATGTAGCCTTAGCATTCGGGGTCATATCTGAAGCCTCCTTTGACGAGGGTTTGCTTGGCTCTTGTCCGCCAGTATCACACCCACGAGAAGCCCTCTCTTTCACTACCTCGTCGTCGCTGTCGAAGTTAAGACCCGCCAACGCATCAGAAAAATCTCCCATGGTAGTATTCACACCCTGTTTCCCCCCTGACTCTCCTCTTGGATGATCGAACGGTTCCAAATAATTCTCAGCCACATCCTCCTCCGCAATGCCCAACGTGAACCTTGACCCCTCTCCCAACGTGATCCACAACGGGACGCTCTGCAGCGCTGCTTCCATTCCCCCCAAGTCGACAGCAAACAGTGCATCAACAGCATCCTCGTCCAGCTTGTACGTATCGGCATAAGGGTCGTCTGCCATAGAATTGAGGGCAGCTTCCTCAATGTCAATGCCAGACTCGAATTCATCCTCTTCCTCTTGTTCCGGTTCTCGATACGCGTACGCGTTTGAGCCGAGGTTCTCTAATTTACGACGCGAAGTGGCATGGGCTTTAGGGGTTCCGCGACCGTGACGCGGGCCAGATGAACCTCGACCGCCGCGTTTTGATCCACGCAGGCTGCCGCGCCCTCCGCGCGTTGTTTCTCGCGTACCGCCGCGACCGCCACGACCACGGCGGGCGGAACGCCGTCGAGGATCAGAAAAGCTGTCACCTTCCATCGAAAGGGAAAATCATTTCTTCGACAGCAGGAAAGTGTGTGCCTTTGGGTGGAGAGAGGTAGGGCAAAAACAAGGAGATGCGACAGTGATTGTGTGAAGGAAAAGGGTGGGAGAAAGCAGATCAGAATTTTACAACATCCGGAAGTGCCCAGGCGATGTGCCTTGCGAGGACCTCTAGAACCCCGGTACGTGTACAGCAGTACACGTGGACACTGCAGATCTGTAACAGAAAGTTTTCCCAGGAAACATGAAATTGTTGAAAATTTAGGAATGGTCACACAATTTAGTACCATGCCATTGCCTCCATGATGGATCCAGATTCAACCCTAAGTCGCCGGCGACCAGAAATCCTCCAAAATCTACAATTTAATTTATCATATCGTTGCCGGCTCGTCGGCGGAGTGTCTGATTTGCCCTGCCCTTCGACAATACGGCCCCGCCGACGTCCCACCTTGGTCAGCGAAACACAACAACCCGCGCAGCACACCCAGTATTATCGCCCGGTCTGGTTTGTGCTCTTCGTATCGCGAATATCCACGATGAAGGTAAGCCATCACATCCTTTCTCACTCGCGTTTAATGTCGTTTGGTTTTCGTCGACTGGGATCGCCCGACATTGATGGCCGCGGCTCTACATGCAAGCCGGAGCACAAGCGGATCGTGATATTACTAGATCGCTAGCTGCGAGTCTGATTCCGCAGACATGTGCGGCTGGCACTACATCTGTAGTGATCCGCGCGTCTCGCTGCGATTTCCGCGCAGTTCTTGCATTGATTCCCACCATCATATGAACACTCGCTGACTAAACGTAATTCCCTCTGCTACGCAACCATATCATAGCTCAATCTTGCAGACCCGCAGACGGGTGCGCAGAAGAAGATTGAAGTCGAAGATGAGAAGAGGCTTCAGCACCTTTACGATATGCGCCTCGCCATGGAGATCGACGGTGATGATCTCGGTGAGGAGTACAGAGGCTACATTTTCCGCATCATGGGTGGCCAAGACAAGCAGGGCTTCGCCATGAAGCAGGGAGTGCTTACCCCGAACCGCGTCCGTCTCCTCATGTCCAAGAACACTCCTGGCTGCCGAGGCTACGGCATGCGCAGCGGTGAGCGCAAGCGCAAGAGCGTTCGAGGCTGCATTATTTCTCATCAGATTTCCGTCCTCAACTTGCTCGTCGTTAAGAATGGTGACTCTCCAATTGAGGGGCTCACCGATCGAACCATCCCGCGTCGGTTGGGACCGAAGCGTGCGTCCAACATTCGTAAGCTTTTCAACTTGTCCAAGGACGACGACGTGCGTAAGTACGTTATCCGCCGTGAGATTCCCGTTAAGGAGGGCGCCAAGGAAGGAGCCAAGCCGCGTTCGAAGGCGCCAAAGATCCAGCGCCTTGTCACTCCGCAGGGCATCCAGCGCAAGCGTAAGAGGTATGCCAGAAAGATTGCTTCCATTACTGCTTCGAGAGCGGCAGCCGCTGAGTACGAGAAGCTTCTCGCTCAGCGCAACAAGGAAGCACGTGAGAGCCGCAAGACGTCCCTCTCGAAACGCAGATCGGCAAGGGAGCAGAGCTAAAATAAAAGCTAAATAGTTCGCAGACTTCGGTCTGGATCGATTTTTCATTCGCAAAGCAGCAGCTCTCTAGACGTATTTCGCTAAGCCCAGACAATCTGGGTGTGGTTGGGCTGCTCGTGAAGCTACTCAATAAAGTGTGGATGAGGATGTATTGCATGGACTACGCCTTGACTGTCCTCACACCACATGGATCACACTCAACATGATAGTGGTTTTTGACAACCGTACCCTATTAACCGAGAAAGCTGGAAGTCCGGTACGCGTCCTCTACAGAAGTGAGATTAAAGCTATCGTGGAGGACAGGAAAGGAGCAGGGCTGACTGCGACAGGTGCCTTTTCTCAGTTGAGCGAAGCCGACGAAAGACGCCTCACCGACCTTGGAAAAAAGTATATTTTTGTTAACTTATGTACAACCGTTGCTGCTCATACCAATGCACTGCCCGGCGAAATTAGGTTAAGACTAGTGTTATGCTGTGAGACGGCAATGTTAAGTCTACCGCGGCGAAATTAGTCATCCCCTTCCTTGATGCTTGAAGCCTCATTATCGTGCACGGTCTTCGTGAAACCCACTCATCCTTCTCTAAGAATCCAGATTTGGCCGAAGAGCCATCCACTCTCCTTCACGTCCTGTCACTGAACTCAACAGCAAAACCATACGGCCACGACACAACCCACGTATATCAAGCGTGCTGTTGCAGCTCTCCCTAGCGTCTGAGAACACTTGGGAGGGTATATTTCTTGCGAAGAGCATCAGCATGCAACTTTGTCGAAATAGCATTCGTTAAAGATGGGAAGGCTGCAATGACGGCAGTAACACCAAAAAGCACAGCCGTTTGCCAACACGACGCGGCTGCTTCTTCCATATTTCCATGAAAGCCGACGAACGCATACCGCGCCCCGAACAGCGTGGCGAGCCCCGAAAAGCCGATAACGCCCAGCACACTCACTACGAGAACGACGGCTCGCCCACTGCTCATGCTGGCTTCCGGCGTTTCCTCATCCATCTCTTTCTCCTTGATTGGTCCCGGATTGACATTGAGGTTGCGCTGTCTGATGCCCGTGCCGAGGCTGAACGGGTTTTCGTCTCGCATCGGAGCGGCGATGGGACGTCAGCAAAACAACATCATGAGGGAGCTAAATTTGTGCCCGCTGCCAGTGAGTAGAGAAATATTGCGCTGAGGTTGCTCGCTGGCGATGATTAATGTGATTAAAAAAAAAAACGAAGCGCTTATATAGAATTGGCCCAACGACCTATCAGAACGTGAAGGCAAATAGGTGATTGAAAAAAGGACTCCAGTCTGGCCAGGCTTTGAAACACAGAACAGATAACTCCTGATTTTAACCTTTGCTCATTGTCACCATTTCGTCCATGCATGACAGCTTTACGGGGGGAAGAACACACGATGAAGTCCTAGAGAATTCTCAATGCATCCGACAAGGTGACGGACTAACAGAAAGAGACCACTAAGATACCAATAGAGGTCGAAGTTAGAATAAAGCGTCTTACGCGGGGCCGCATCCAACCGATGGATATTCTGTGCTTTCAGAGTCATGGACGCCCCATCTGAAGTTGGACCGTTTTCTGGTCCCGCATCCGCAACCTCGCGTGGTGTCGCGGCCTAATATCTCCTAATATCCTGGCTCGATCATAATTTGCCCTGCGAAATTGAAATAGCGAATTGTTGGCGATAGCAGTCACACGAGTAAAAGCGATATGCATGAAAAGACTGTTGTCGATCGCTGCTCGATCATAGTTTGACGTCCATGTCTTTACCGTCATTCATTTGCTTCCCAGTTGGAACCCAGGCCTGCAAACGCTTGAATTCCATCTGTCCAAGCCATAGTGCTTTCTCCAACTCCTCGCCCTCGAGATCCTTCTTCTCGCGAAAGTCTAGAAAATGCAATATGCAATGACCCGGCTGTTAGACCCCAGGAATTCATCATCCCTCCCACAGACTCGATATTCATCAAGCCCCGGTATCACATGAGCCGACACTTACCTTCTTTGATGGCTGCAGCTATGCTGTCCTTCTTCGCACTTGGATAAAAGCGGAGGGATCGCAGCAGTCCGCGGTACAGCTGCAAAGAGCTTATCGCTGGTCGGGCAGTAGACATGACAACAGCTGTCTGATGTCGACAAGTGAGCACTTTCGATGTGTTATTTACCGGAAAATGGAATGAAATGCTGATTCATGTGCAGCGACAGGTGATGTATTCCGCAGGCGTCAAGATGGATTTCCTAATGTGCATGCTGAGCTGCGAGAGGGTTTACGAGCAGGAAATCAGTTTCTTCCCCAAAATTAGGTCATTTTTTGAAGGCAAAACGTTGTAGCGACACATCATGTTGTCCTGCATGTTTTTCTCCCGCGGAGGTGCAGACCATTGCTGAACCAAATAGCGCATCACGGCCATCACAGGCATCTCCTCATCAGGAAGCATATTCAAACGCAACAAATACAGCATCAAATACAATGGATATGAATTAAAGCCCTTCACTCAACAGGTTACGAACGTGGAACTCCAGGTGGATTATAGAGTCCTGATGAGTGGAACGCTAATGGCCATCTGCGCGGCGCCAGGTGAACTCCTTCACGTGAGGAAAGCGATTAAGCATCGCCGTAACTAGGGCTGCTAAAGTCTGTTGATCGCCCCGGCAGCGGCACGATTACGAGCCCGTGGTTATCTGCGGATGATGTTCAAGTCAGAACATGTTTTGGCCCCATGCCGATGGTTTGTGGACTTGCATTCGATTGGTTTCGAAGCTCTCCAAAATTGTACTTTACACATTCCCGCTAAGAATCCCTATCTACAGACGATACCGGAGCTAGTTTCACCTTCATCTTCCCAAATTTGGGGCTGCTACCCGACGCACTGCCCCCATTTGGCAGAGCACTGGGTGTGCTAGACGTAAAGTCAGGATCAAAATTTGGCTCGGTATACCTCTCCCCTTCGTCGTCGTGATGCTTTCGCTTCTTTTTCCGCTTTTTGCGGCCCTCCTCACCTTCAAGGCGACGCTTCTTCTTTTTCTTCTTCTTTTTTCTCTTCATGTCAGCTTCAGCACCGTTGGGGGGATGTTCTGATCCTTTATTCGCATCTCGTGCAAGTTTTTCAGTCTCAGCCTCGCGAGCTTTTTGTCTCAGCTTCCCTTCTCTCCTTTGCTGCACAACTTTCTTGAAGAATTCGAAGTCTTCTTGATCCAGCGGATCCCAGTCAAAGGGAACCTTTTTCGGTAGCCCAGCTGCAACAGCCTTCGGGATAACCACAGAATTTCGAGGTACGCTATGCGGGATACCGACCACACTTTTCGGAATACTTAGGACGCTTCTTGGGATACCTGGCGTGCTTCTGGGAATACTAAAAGGTACACGATTGGGAATGCTCTTTGGTATTCCTTTGGACGAGCTCGCCTTAACGGTACTTTTCGGCACATCAGGAGACTTCTTCACCCGAGAAACGTTTGGCACGCTTTTTGGGATTGCTGACTTTGGCACGGCGGGGATGCTTTTCGGTATGCCAATCGAGATGGGCTTCTTGTCCAAATCAATGACGGGGACTGGTTGCGAGGCAGACACTCCTGAGGATGGCTTTTTGATTTCCGGTTCTGTCACAACTGTGCTCGCTAACTTTGGACGGGTGCCCCATGCGTCTACATCTATTGTCCCTCTACGGCTGTGATCTCGTCCTGACAAGGGCTCCGCAATTATGGCACTCTTCGGAAGTGACAGTTTTCTCTTGCCACTCTTCGCACTTTTGTTACTTTTTGATGCCTTTCCGCTCTTGGGAGCCTTCAGTAGTGACCCCTGCAGCTGAGGTCCTTGAACAATCGATGTGCTTCCGTTGGTCTGCAAGGGCACGACCTCTACTGCCTTAGCTACCGGTAATGAGTGTCCAGTTCGCCTGGCATGGGCATACTCCGAGCGCCTGAGAAGGCACACTGGCACTGCGATACCCCAAGCGACTTTTGCAAAGCGTAAGGCAGCCGCTCGCACCCTTGGATCGGCCTCTCCCACGCTCAACCGGAGAATCCGAGTGCAAAGCTGCATCGCCCGCTTCGTATGACGCCGTACCGCGAGTAGTAGAGGGGAGGATTCGACCCCCCATGAATCCGACATAGCTGCGTTGGTGAGAATGTCCAGCACTCTGTAACGAAAAGAAGGTGCTTCGATGAAACCCCATTTCGAGGATTCATCGTGCTCACGGCGGATACGATGCAAGTCTACAAGCTCCTCATAGGAACTATTGCGATCGCAGCGGCCTAACAACCACAATGCGACCTCGAGGTCTCCAGAGTAGGCTCTAGCAAGACATGACAGTGCCGCAAGACGGGTGTCATGAGCACACTCTCTTCGTGCAAGCGATTCAATACTTCGCAGAATGACAGGACGAGTCGAAAAGCGAGCCTGCAATATAGAGTGAGTTACTTTTCCGTTCTCTGTGCGATTCTGAAGTGCAAGCTTCGCCACTTCGATGTCGCACAAGGCATTCATCACTGCACATGAAACCAGGCCAGTCCTACGAGGGACCAGTTCCTCGATGGCCTTATACCTCTCCAGTTGCTTAGAAATTGAGTCAGTTGTCGAGCAGTTGTCCTCTCCAGCTTTGGCATGCTTCGGGTCCTCTAGGCATATCAGTCCTACCTTGCCACATGCCTTGATGAGGTCAGCCACGTAGTGGTCATCATCATAAGGATTGCGAGTGTTGTCGTTTGTAGACAGCATAAATGAAAGGAATTCAGTCGCTTCAATCGGTACAGACGTAGGTTGAAAATTCCCAACCTTCGGACTGTCCTCACGGGCATTCACAATCGCTCCAATCATAGCTCGCTTGACAAAGTAGTTCGCAAAGTTTGAGAAGTGATTTGGTCGAACCAACCCAAGCTTACCAGAACTGCTATCGAAGTAGAACTCACGGAAATATTTCAGAAGCATACCAAGCCCTCCTTTGTACGTTGCTAATACTCGTGCAGCTTCCGCACGCACTCGCCAATACAGTCGCTCATCTTCAACGATGACCAATAAGGCCTTGGCTGACGCTTCGCTCTTGAAACCCCGCAGTCCACGACATGCTTCTACCTGACCCATTGCGTCTCTTTCCCCCTTCACGAGCGCAGTCCACGAATCTTCGCTTTGCTTGAACACGACATCAATGCACCACTCAGCATCTGGGTCGATTCGAACCCAAAGCACGGGAGACGCACGCGCAGGATTTTCGTTGAACTCCTTCTCAGCTTGGGAGGCAGATTTGTGTTTTGCCCTATGCGAATGGCAGGGCACATCAATCACGACAAATGGATCTCTAATTTCGACCGTGTGCTCGGATGCTCCTTCTATCTCCATGACTCGTACGTGTAGACTACCAGTAAACACAAGGCCTTCTCGACCGTCATAAGTCTCTCCTTTAACAATTCCTTCCTGCTTCACTGCAAACTCAAGACAATGTCTCCTTGGGTTGTACTGATAGCCAATCCGTAACCGGGGAACCCCTGTCGATGCGGCCCAGAGCCTTACGAGGCTCCGGAGATCTGTTCCGCAAATCGCTCTTAACCGCTTCAAAAATGGCCCAACGCTGACCCCTTGCAAGGCTTCGTCGAAACCACTTGAAACGACACTGGATGAGCCGCTTTGTTCTGGATCCTTCCCTGTCAAATCAATAAGCGTACGATCTCGCCGCCTTTCAATGGTCATCGGAAGACGTACCCGATTGTCGTCCAGCATCTCAAGAGCTTTTTCTTGGAAAGTATCGAATACTCTCACTAAAGATGCAATGATGCTCCGACCCTCCGCGACAATGTCGCGTAGTGCTCGCTTCAATACATCGCACCCGATCCTCTTTTCAATCATATACACAATGACATGAGATCTCCTCTTCACAGAATCGAGCGTCTCGTCTGTTACACGATTAATCTTGACGTCTGACAAATCGACGGATTTTTCTTGTCTGAGCATGTCCATGAGGTCCATGATACGGAACCGATACCAATTTCGACCGAGAATTGCGCCGAGCCCGAGAGTGGTGACATGAGCAGCAAGGCCACATATGAGCCAGTCATCTTCGGCCTGCCGTGGACGAAGAAAGCGACCAAAATACGACATGACGAGGCCCGACATGACCGCCTCCCTCGCGATGAATGCTTCATCAATTGATCTAGAATCATGCAGAATATCTCCAGAATAAACGACAACACCTCCAGCCCCTGTAGTGGTTGTGCCCGCATTTCTTCCAAGAGAACCTACGAACACGTGTTTGAACGAACTCGTCGGGGGGTCTGCTCCGAAATAGTCCCGACAGAACGCTAGGGCCTTCGCGAAAAGCGGAGGGCATGTATGTACAAGTTCGCGCGCAAGGCCAGGAAGGCAGAAATATGTAACAGTCTTTGACAAAGCTGGGTCTGGTAAAGGGACGAAATCTCCGACTGCGATGACAACCTCTGAAGCATGGGCCGGTGCGAGTAGCCGGTACTTGAAGACTTTTATGGGATCGTCAGTAGGGAACTCTGAATCGTTCCCTGCGGTGTAGATAACAGTCTCTGTGAGTTCGCCTGAGGCGATGACGAGTAAACTTGACTTGACAGCAATGTCAAAGTCAAACAGATAACGATCGCACCATTGCATTGAGTCAATGCAGGGCATCCAGAAACGTGCCATGCCAAACCTGCTATCGGTGAGCATATAAACAGGATCGATGACAGGGTTTGAGGCATCTTGATTTCCGAAATACACGGCACCTGCGCTTGGTTCGTAGGCTTCGTAGTCTATCCTAAGAGTCAATACTGGGAGATGTTCAAGGGGAAGGGCAGGGACGGCAGTGAATTCCGGGGGATTCTGAATGAGATCTGCATCAGGGCTAGCCTTTTGAAAAGCTTCTGTTAATTCGTCAATGATGTCAGCAGAAATGGCGGCCGGTAAATCAACAACCAGCTCTCCTTGTATGGCAGACGCATCCTCGCGCAATCGAACGCTGTGTTCGATGTTGGCAACTCTGTGACGGGCGGTATCGGAGGAAACCGCAGCGAGAAGCTTATCATCATCCAGTGGACTGACGATGCGGAACGAAGCCGGTTTGTCGTTAATGAGGCATGAGGTGACGCGGCAGCGGCGCAAATTGAGAGCGATGTTGACGAACTGATTGCTGAGCGCGCAAAACTCGAATTTGGCTGTACCAGCGATAGTTCGGCGGTCGAGGTCGATGCGAAGCTTGACATGCTCGCGTATGATGCGCCATCCTCGCGCTAGTTCAAGCTGATGAAAGACAGGTGGTTTTGACTTGTCCGTTTTCGCAGACGCTACCATGGCGGTAGAGGAGGGCAGGCGAGTGCGTCCCTAAGGCAGCAGATGTGGGGTAACGGGTGGGCAAGACTGGTGCTGCAGGTAAGGTAGCACACGCACGCGGCGAACGCGGAAGCGTAACCGCAACCGTCTGACGCCGGTGCGGTCCAGCACTTGCATGCGGTTGTATGGCGCGGGGCGCCACGAATGCTACGTTTGTTCGACAAGCGTGGAGGCGCAGCGCACGAAAATCCTAAGCCGCGGCTGGCGATATGGGCAAGGACTTGGAGAGCGGTGCAGGCGGGGAAAGCAAGGACGCGTAGGTCCTGGAGGTGGCGAAATTGCGATGGAATTGTGGCAGAGTGGGCGTTCTACCAGATGCTCTGGCTTGAACGTGCGGAACTCAATGTGTCGTTGCCTCGGCGAGCCTGAGTAGGTAGATGAGCGTCGTTTCCAGATGGCAGACGGAACAAAAAAAAGGAAAAAGCGTAGTTCGCAGAGATCGATTTTTTCAAAAAAGTCTTGTCCAATCTCAATTGGGTAGAACTGACTATTGTGTAGTGTGATTGGTGGAGCGGTCGTGGGGCGAAAGTATCAAGATGATTTATAACTCAACGAAATCAGGTGGTTTCGAAATCTTGAATTCTAGATATTTTTAGATATTCTCTGGGGAGTACGCGTGTACTGAGTGGGTCACAAAAACGGGCATTTACCAGGCCTCCAGTGACCGATCGGTCCCCCTTGGCTCCAGAAAATTTGGAGCGGTAGTGGTCTTCCCTTGCAGTATTCTGTGCGAGCATGCGATGCAGCCGTCGTACGTGCCCCCCATGGACCCAGCAGACTACTGCACAGTATTTTTGCTTAACGTAGAGAAAAAGCTGGCGACAGCATTTTCCAGCCCGCGCAAACCTCGTCGTCTCCCTCAAGGTGTTCGCTTTCCGTCTTTAACCTCCACCAAGTGAAAGTCAGGAAAGCGAAAACCACAACGTGCACTACTCGCAGTCCTCACCATGAATCGCGGCATGGCAAACCGTCGCATGAAACGGGAGCTGGAGCTTCTCTCGCGCGGGGGCGCAGCTCCCGGCATTGCGGCCTGGCCTCGAGACGAAGGTAATCGTCTGGACGTTCTGGATGCAGAAATACGAGGCGCGTCAGATACCCCTTATGAAGGAGGAATTTTTCGTCTAGAGGTTGTGATCCCTGCCGAATACCCCCTGAAGCCACCGCGGGTGCGCTTTATGACCAAGATATACCACCCTAACATTGATAGTCAGGGACGAATTTGTCTGGATAGTCTCAACATGCCGCCCAAGGGGGCGTGGAAACCATCGCTTAATGTATCAACACTTCTTACGACGATTCAGGCGCTCATGTCAGAGCCAAATGGAGATGATGGTCTCATGGTGGAAATCACGGAAGAGTTTAGAAGAAGGCCAGAAGTATTTCGGAATAAGGCCAGAGAGTGCACCCGGAAATATGCTTGCGGGGAAGTAGCCGTGAGGGGAATGAGTCTGGATGGAGACAAAGCGGACGTTGTGTCAGGGGATACAGAAGAGCCGGACGTGGCGGAGAACCGCGAGGGGGAGAGCGGAGATGCAGAAAATCAGGACGAGGACGAAATTCGGCCCGTTAAGGGGGCATTGAGCGAAGAGGGAGCGGTTACGAGTCGATTGAGGAAGAAGCCGAGGTATTCATGAGGGTGGAAGCAGGGGACGGAGATTAGTTCTTAGGGCGCTGCCACTACTGCGGATGTGTCAGGAAATTGTCACTAACAGAAGATGGTGAGACGTCCGACAAGGAAGAGGGTAGGCATGTTGGGACTCGGCAGCATGTTGACATCCTGGAGGATGGTAATTGCACAGCAAAACAAGCCTGAAGCTCGATGCCAATGGGAGCAAACAGTAGCTCGAGACTGGATTGGGCGACGTGCTTGAGGGTGAGGCACAGACCGATGGCTGGCCGGGCCGTTGCCACAGCGAGACAAGGGTAAATACTGTAGATATCAAGGGTTTTGCGAAGGGCCTTGCAGAGCGTGCTTACGTCACGGAGGAGTCACAGACACAAGTGCCAAAGCCCTGGCATAGGGCCAACGCACTCGCTTTAAATGCAGCTGCTTTAGGTATTACACGTGTAACGTAATTGATCTTCAGAAGGAATCACGTGACTTGGCCCGTCAGTGAGAGATCTTTTCGTACTTGTCAAAAGCAAGCTGGATGATCACTATGGTATCTTGATGAGATTGGTCGAAATATTTCAGTACACTCTTTTCATGACGATATATATTTCGAATAGTCTTGGCCACGCAGCGACAACTTTGTGTAAGGCCGGTCACAGTCACCGACCTCACATTTTGTGGGAAATAGGGCCCGTTTTCGCGGGCGAGCCACATGTTTCGCTTCTTGCTTTTTCTCCACCACCCCATGCAGCATCATCCTCGCACTGCCCTTGTTTCTATCCTTTTTTTTCTTGTCTTTTTCCGTGGCATCCCTCCTTACCCCAAACAGCGCAACATGTACAGACGGAACAACCCTTTCTTCACACAGCCCCTTCCGCCCTCACCTCCGCGCACCCCCAGCGAGCGCTTCCTCATCCTCTCATAACAGAGGCTCCGCTCCCCTTCGCATTTCACAATCGCTACGGCCCATCACCAGATTCTATTCCCCTGCACCATGCCACGTTTGTGAGCGCCCCCATCCACACCCCGCCTACCTGTCCCCTCTCCATCCCAGGCATATCGCAATCAACATGCCGAACTCCATGTATCTCAACCATCTTTTCCAGCAAATCGACGGAGACCAAACCCAACCCCCTCCTCTTCAGACTCCTGTCACTGCCTCCCACCCCCTTCCCGCCCATCTCTCCCCCACCGTTCCGCCGGACTCGCACCCCAAACCCACAAACGACGAAGCCGAATACGACGAAAACGAAAACGACGACGACGATGACGACGACGACGACGACACCAAGCCCCAGCCCATTGTCGGCAAGAAGCGCAAACAGGAGCTCCATCGCAGGCACTCCAAGCGCTACAGAGACAACCTCGGCGAGCTCTTCCAGAACCTCGAGCAGCTTCTCCCAAAGGTCGTCCCAGGTTGCAAACTCAAAACGAAAAGCCAGATCATCGCAAATAGCGTCCAGGCAGTCAAGAGACTCCGAACAGAGGTGTCCGCACTGGAAATGCAGTTTGTTTTATCAAGCCCGGCGAATCGAACAAAGTGGGTCGAGGACACCGTTCAGGCCGCCACTTGCTTCCAGGCTGTTACTGAGCCTTTCATGCGTCTTCTAGTAGGTATCCAACGATGGAAGCATTCCGAGCTGTGGTGTCGCTACGAAGTCAATTTGCTTCCGGATGGCACTGACAGCGGTGCTCCCGTCATCAACCCCACCAACACCGTCCACGACCTTGGCCCGTTGTCCTCGAAAAAGTTTTTCCTCAAGCTGGACAGAACCGTGTCTGTGCATGACATCACAGCTTCCACTGTTCCGGAAGCGTACAGGATGTTTTCGAAAATCTCTCACATGGCCACCTTTGTCAATGGTGATGATAGTATAGTCGGCCGCACCGCGTCCAAGTTGTCGCCCGAGTGGATCGACTTGAGAGATCCCGAGGCTTGTCACGGGTTCAAGAGAGGAGAGGCGGCGAGACAGTGTGGGTTCACGACCTGCTTTGCACTCCCGTTTCTCGTCAGAGGACATGTATTCGCTTCCATTCTTTTTTATGATGACCAACAGCGCTTTGATGCCGGCCCAGATATTAATATTGCACAGGATATTGCAAGTTGTCTTGGAAATTGTTATGGCGCGTCGGCTGCTCAAAGTTCAGATTAGCCTCCCCGCAGCGTAAAGAAAATTTATTGAAGGTGCTACGAAAAGAACACGTTTTATGAGTTCAGCGCGCGCAGTGGATATCATGAGGACCGTCACCGCAGGATGCACACAGCCGGACACAAAAAGGGAGCCGCAAAAGCAGCCAAGGGCCCCTAGGGTAGAAGGGAGCACTTTTCATCGTCTTCAGCCACCCAAACAGAATAGTCCATCAAATCACAGCGAACAGCCTCTCTCCCTTGATACCATGAAGTCGAATCTGTGGGTCCCAGGTTGTCCCTCGCGGCATCCAAAATCGAAGGCCGAACATCAGCCCCAAGACCTTGGTGTTGTGGCTTCATTTCAAGCACGCTCTTCTTACGCCCACGCCCGCGAAGTTCATGAACGGGGCTACGTGTTGTCGTGATTGTTAGAAAACGGGAGAGAAAAACGGCGTCCGTTTAAAGAACTGATAAGCATAAAGAGAGATGATTGCACATACCTTGTTGGCAGCGGGATGTAGGTTAGCTTCCATGTGTCCACCGGCACTAGATCCGCACGATTCACATGCACATGCGACACCACCGGCTCCGAAAAACGAACCCTCCGCCTCCCACGGCTCTTTCGAATATCAGGAGCCACTCTATCGAATAGCCGGGAGGCACATGTAGGGGGCGGTAAAGAGTTTCTCTTCTTGCCGTAAGTGAGCATGTGTACGTCAGGCAAAGATTGTTTTGCGATTCAGTGCTTAGAGCGATGTTCTGACGACAAAACAAGGACGGTGTGAAAGCGACAACAGCGGAATGCACTTTGGCCGTTGGCGGGAGGAGGAAGACACTGCCTTTTTGATCGTTTATTCAAGACAATTTCAGTGGTGTCTCCAACTGAAGGACTGTCAAGTTGATGAGCGAGAGTTGCTTCTAGTTGTAGCTTCAAGGTGTGTCTCGCAAGAGAGTCCCTTCCAGATTCTCTTTCGTGACAGACGTTCCACAGGGGATGACTGCAATGAGTGGAACAGATAAAAAGTCGCAAAATCAAGTAGTCAACGGTGGAGTTGTCACTTTTCAAATGCATGGAGCGGGTAGGATTGAAGAGAAAGCATTTCGTGGTTGGAGGAAAGGGCCTCTAGTGGAAAGAATGTTTTCGCGTTTATCTGAATTCCACTGCTGTACTGTTTGTTTACTTCGAGTGCGTGAAATTTATCGGTTCAGTTCTTGCTAACTAAAAAGCAGTTCTAAACGAAAGAAACGGCTTACCCGATGAGCAATGGTTTCTTCTATAGCAGGCTCACTGTCGTGATCGAGCCACCTCCGAGAACGCTACTGTAGTTGATGGGCTTCGTGATTTTTGAATATTTTATCGCTTGTACGTCACGAGCAAGTGAAGGCGGCGGCGTAAGCGGATGAAAGAATCTCGGAATATGACATCATACCCGAACTCCCCTTCACAGTGTACACACCTCCATTCTTTCGCAGAAGGACTCTCTGTGACTCATCCTCAACCATGGAAGCTGAGAAAGAGAAATGCGAGGAGACGCTCTCAAAGTTTTCGGCCTCGCTAGACGAACTCGAGGGCGCGGTGCGCCCAGTCCTCGTGGCAGTAGACAAACTTCGCGCCGCCGCGAGCGACGATGAGCTTGACGCCATGTCTCGTTCGCAGCTGCACATCACGCTGTGCTACGTTACAAACGTGCTATTCTGCATGTACCTGCGCACGCAAGGCATCGACCCGCTTGTCCACCCGGTCGTCGACGACATCACACGCGTGCAGGAGGCCTTCATGCGAATGCGGAAAGTCGAGGCAGGCTTGTCAGCAGACCACCAACCCAAGCCCGATAGGGATCGCAGAAGACATATTGAGATTGCGAAGAAGAATGCGGCTAAGCTGGCGGCGTTGGTGTTCCCGGAGGAGGGCGATTTGCTCAGAGCTCTTTACAGGCAGAAGAAGAGGCAGAGAGTGACTAATCTCGACTCAGATGAGGAGGATGAAGAGGAGAGTGATATTCCAGAACCGGAGGACGATGATGACCTCGCGCATGTGCGAAATACAAAGGAGGACCTTGACGAGCACGCTGAGATGCTTGAGAAGAAGGGCAAGAAGGAAGCAAAGAGCAAGTCCAGAAAAGAGCATACGAAGGCTAAGAAAGAAGAGCGCAAAGAAAGAAAAGAGAAGAAGAAGCGAAAGAAAAGTGAAAAATGATATCCTTGTTCCGCGGGACGTCAGGCGTTTACGATGTGAAGGCAACTGCAGTGTTAGAAAATATGTACAGTACATGAGTAAGTCATGGACGAGAAGCTCAGTGACCGGAATGGCCCGTCGTCTTCCTATAAGTCGAATATGTATGAAACGTATTGGTTATCGTGTTGCCTCAATAATAGCCATCGGACTTGCCTGCCTTGCCGCTCGTGTTGCTGCCTTGCACATGTAGCCTGGTCGACGAACTTCCACTATTTCCATCTCTGTTGTTACCTTGTGCTTTAGAATCCCACATGGCTTCTGCCCTTGTCGCGATAGCGCTTGGGTGATTCTCATCAAAACAGCTCTCTACCTCTCTATAGTCTTGCAATCCTCGCTCGAGAGCTTTGTCGAACGCCCTCATTTCGCTCTCGCTGAGTGAAAGGACTGGACCACCATCCTTTTCAAGAGAGCTTTTCTCTCGTCCAAAAGCTCTGTTGGCAGCGAGTGCTTCATTCATTATCCTTTTAGCATCATCTTTGTACTGCAAGATGTCATCGTACGCGTCATTGGAAGCTGTCATGTGCTCTGTGGGGGAAGTCTCTTGTCTAGGCTGCGCCTGCGTTCTTGACACGGTCGATTGGCTCGCCTGAGGCACGTTAGCTGCGCCAAGAGTCGTTGGCGTCGAATTTGAGTGCTCTCCTTGCGCGGCTAATTCTTCTTGAGATTGCTCTAAATTTGCAGGCATTACAGGTTCTTTTGTTCCATCTGGAAGTATGCGCCACACCAAAACTTCAGCGGGGTTTGTTGGAGTCGAATTGGAGCGCTCTCCTGGCGGAGTGATTTCTTCGTGGAATTGCTCTAGGTTTGCCGGCATGACAGGCTCTTGCGTTCCATCGGGAAGTACTCGCCACACCAAAATATCAGCGGGATTCGATTGAGTTTTTTGTTCCGCTATAGTTGGACCCGCTGTCGATGGAGGTACTGCACTCTTTGCATGAATTTTCACTTCTGCAGGCGCAGGGGATACTGGTGACGGCGCTTGGACAGTTGCATGCGAGTCAATGCCCAAAAAGCGGCCTAACGAGAAATGGGGAACCAAATCCAAAAGCTCGGCCGGGAGCTTGTTCATTTCCCCAAGGGCGACAGAAGCCGCGATCTTAGCGGTAACAGGCGCGAGCAAGATGCCGTTGCGATAGTAGCCAGTGGCAATGCTCATGTTCCCAAATTCTGACATGCCCAACACAGGCATCAGGTCCGGCGTGGCAGGTCTGAGGCCGCTCCACACTTCCTTAAACTCATACTCTGCCATGGCCGGCACGTACTCAACGGCAGCGCCAAGCAGCTTAGCCATACCCCCCGCGGTGTTTTTGAGATCGTACTGGCCGTCCTCGACGGTGGCACCGACAAAAAACGTGCGGCCATCATCCTTCGGCACAATATACGCCTTCTTCCCGTGTAGCACATGGCGGAGGACCTCTGCATGGGCATCCGGGGCGCGAAGGGCGAGCATCTGCCCCTTGACGGGTTTGACGGGCAGCGGAGGCAACAATTCGCGTGACCAGGCACCCGCGGCAAGGACGAAGTGCCCCCCTTTGACAACGTCTCCCTCGCTGGTCAGGACGCCGTCGACGCGCGACGCATCTGACGACACGACGAGGCGGCGGGCCGGGGCGCGGTCCCTGATGACGACGCCGAGCTTGTCGCAGGCGGCGCGTAAGGCGGCCATGAGGCGGCGGTTGTCGACGTGGGCTTCGGAGGGGACGCGCTTCGCGGCGACGACGTTCGGCCCCAGCAAGGGCTCAACGGCGGCGAGATGATCACGGCGCAGCCAGTGCAGGGAGGAGGGATCGGCGAGGTGCTCGCCATGCAGACGCGGAAGAAGGAAGTCGGAAGAGGACACGTAGCACGGGTCAATTCCGGTGAGATGGTGGAGGGCGGTGGTGAAGGCGGGGTAGAGGGAGCGGGAGTTGGCGGCTAGGGCGTCGAGAGGGGCTGGGAGCGTTTCGCTAAGAGGGGCTAGCATACCGGCGGCAGCTAGGCCGGCGGGAGGGCGCGGAGAGGAGAGAATTGTGACGGAGGCGCCACGGAGGGAGAGCTCGTGGGCAATTGAGAGACCGGCTAGGCCGGCGCCGATTATTACGACATCGCGGTGCGTGCAGAGGGTGGCTGGACGGGGGGCGTGGCGGGCACGCAGGGGGGGTAGTCGAGGATGAGGGAGAGGGAGCGGGCGAAGGAACGTGGAAGAGATGGAGGATGAAGGGAGAGCGGAGGGAGACAGGAAGGCGACCATGGTGGAGAAGTTGAGGTCGGCCGGGAGATGGGACATGCGACCGAGGTTGGTTTTTCCAGATGCGAAGCGCAAGAGCGCAGAGAAGGCAGACCGAGGTCATGAATCGATGTGTTGAGGAGCCCCGTGATCTCTGGGGTTGGGCGACTGCGGTTGGATGGGGATGACTCCGCAGCCTGGGCGTCGATTGGCTTGTTTTGTACTTTACAGTTGAAGGCGATGGGTTGCTGTAATCAATATATGGAAGGCACTGGACTATTCTACAGTGGCAACCTCTGTACAGTACTCTGTACCCGCACAACAGGAGTACAATAGTGCCAGTTATGTTGCAGAAAACGGGCACGCAGCTTCCATGCATCGTTGTACACGTCACCGTACACATGCACCCTCGATGCACACACGTCACCGGAAACGAGTGTGCTGTACAGTAGCTTACTCGGTCTGTCACGATGCGAGGACCAGCTGAAAAGCAAGTGGAGCGCGCTTTGCTGAGAGTTGAAAATCAGCACTCCGCCTCCTCGTCCTTTCGTACCACAAGCCGGGCAGCGTTCATGTTGGGGAGCACGCTCGTCGCAAGAATACACGCGTCGTCTCCATTGTCCTGGCCCCTTCAAAAACGATGTGAACTGTGACCGTCACAGTTCTGTGCAACGATCTTTCCATTCGAGGAGCACCGCCTCCGCATCTTTTGCTCCCACCTGTCGCAGGGATTCATCTCCCCATGAATACTATGCACGAACCCTCCTTGTCCGCCAACAAGCCACAAGCCCTATGGAAGCGCGTCTTCGCCCTCATCGGCCTGCCCTGCCTTATCTCCGTAGCCGCTATAGACCCCGGCAACCTCGAAGTTGATTTGCAGGCCGGTCATCTACTCGGCTACCGCCTGATCTGGGCCCTTTTGCTCTCCTCCATTATTGGCTTTGTCTTGCAGGCTCTTGCTGCTCGCCTCACTCTCCGCACTGGCAACCATCTTGCAGAGCTTTGTGCAAAAGCTTATGCTCATGACCGAGTCCTCTCCCTCACCATTTTTGCCTTTGCTGAACTCTCTATTGTCGCTTTCGACCTCGCCGAGGTCGTCGGTACTGCCATCGCCCTCCAGCTCCTCTTCGGCTGGCCGCTATGGCTAGGCATGATCCTCTCTGCACTGGACACCATGCTTGTGCTCTACCTCCAGCGCCGCGGTCTCACCACGGTTGAAATCCTCATCGAAGGCATGCTCTTCATCCTTGCTGCCTGCCTTATCTACGAGTTTGCACTCTCGCGTCCATCCGCGGCCGGCATGTTCTATGGAACGTTCGTCCCGACGCTCGGCGACCGCCCGCAAGAAGCAGCCATTCTTGCTATCGGCATCCTCGGCTCAGTCATTATGGCCCACAACCTCTTCCTTCACAGCTGGCTCATCAAGCACCGCAGCCTCAATGACGGCCCTCTTCTAATCCCGCCAACCCTGGCGAGCATCAACGACGAGTGCCGCTACGCCACTATTGAAACGGCTGCCATCTTTTTCGCAACCTTCCTGATCAACACTATTGCTCTTTCTGTCACGGCTGCCCTTCCAGATAAGGTACTCGCCAGCATCGATGAAATTGGTCTCCGGGATGCGGGCGCCCTGTTCAGAAACTTTTTGCCTGGTGAGTTCGCATCTACCGCATGGGGTGTCGCCTTGCTTGCTAGTGGGCATGCCGCAACGGTAACCGGGACGCTAGCGAGTCAGGTAGTGTGTGAAGGGTTTCTTGACATCCGAGAGGGCTCGAGCCCCGCAGGCATCGTGTTGGCTACGCGTGCTGTAGCTATTATCCCCGCTTTGGCTGGGGCGCTCATCGCAGGGCAAGAGGGGGCTGATCGGTTGGTGGTGCTATCTCAAGTGGTGCTCTCTTTAGCGTTGCCGTTTGTCGTCATCCCGCTGTTTAAAGTGCTTGCAGTGACAGAGGGAGAGAAGGGAGGAGGGCAATGGCTTGTTCGAGCGGGGTACGTTTCTTTTGCAGTATTGATCGTGTCGAATGGTTTTGCTGTCGCTGGGATTGGGGCGCAGGTCAGAGAAGAGGCTGGCGGAAATAGTTTTCCGTTGATAGTGCTGGGGTCGGTGGTGGTTGTGGCTGTTGGGCTTATTGTGAATCTACTTCAAACGCCGCCTCAGTTGGAAGAGATCGACTTGGGGGTGAATCGGGGTTCAGAGTCTGCGGAGAGGAGCGCGTTAGCATCAGAGGCGACGTCGACGTATTCTTAAGCAGGGCAGAAGATATGACCTCTACATGACCTCTTCCACTCACAGGAGCGGTATCCGTGACGTGGAGGTATGGCAAGGTGACCATGAGAAGTTGACATGGTGCTGCAATGTTGTACAGTAACGGTACTGTACAGCTCGGACACTACAGTAGTACACTCTTGTTACAGTAGTTCAATATTTACAGTAGTATCAAAATGAATTATTTTATGTGACATCGGAAGGAAGGATGCAGCTGACGATGCATGTGTGGCGACGACCTGGATACCCTTACACGTGTGCATGTTGTCCAATAATAATGACCTAATAATGCCTCATCAGCTCTGGGAGTGCAGGTGCGTCAACGTTTTTCGTTTTTACGCAATGTGCCATTGCTGGTTGAAATGGATCCCGTTTATGTGACCTCCACCTCGTCATCCTCCTTCTCCCCCTCCACTTATCCTCAACAGCTTCCTCAAGGGCACATTGTCTATTCACTGTGGCCCATCTCGCATTCCCTCACCAGCCAACGCACAGCATAGTGGGCCTACCCCACAAGAATCCTCAAGAGGTCTGCGCCCTTATACTCCCATGTCCTCGTCGCCTTACATGGCCTCCCCACTACCGTCCCCATCCCCCCCTTCCCTCTCCACGACCGACCTCACCAACCGCGCCAACCTTCTTACGCTCGCACCCTCGCCTTCCGTCGCCATGGCGCACCCGTTCACTAACACGGTCGCTCGCGGCACACGCCCCGCCATGCAACTAATCTACGACCTGCGTGCGTGTGGCGTTGAGCGCGAAATCGCCATCCCGCAAGTCGCCGTTATTGGCGACCAGTCCTCCGGCAAGGTACGCACCCAATCCCCTCGATTCCATTTGTACCAACTTGCCTGTCCCTTGTTAACACTCTCCCTTCTTCCAGTCGAGTGTCCTAGAAGCCATCTGTTCCGTCCCTCTGCCGCGAGGAGCCGGTTTGACCACCCGCTGCGCCATCGAGCTGCGGCTGTCAGACGTCCATCCGGATGATCTTCATCTGCCCCCGGATACACCCCGCCCGGAGAGGGACATGTTTTGGGTTGGAAGCATTTTTACCTCCGTCGACTCTGGACAAGTCCCAATTGAGAAGAAGGACGACCTTGAGCAGGCTATTGCCGCAAAAGCAAAGTCGCTGACGAACTCCAGGCATGCGGGAGGCTTTTCGAATGAACGTGTCATAGTCCAGATTGCTGCTTCAGGCTCGCCTAATCTTACTATTATCGACTTGCCCGGTATCATTCGGACAAAGACTTTTGGGTAAGCTTGCTGCTTTCTTTGTTGCTGTCTTGTTTTTTTATTTTTATTTGCACCTAGTGGTTTGCAAGCTGCACGGAGAAAAGCTAACCGCGATATTAACAGTGATTTTCTCACAACGTCGTTGCCTTTCGTGGAAAGTCAAAACTCGAACGCCATCCGCGAGGTGACTAATCTCATTCGAGGTTACATAAGTCAGGAGCGCACCGTAATGTTGGTCGTCGTCCCCGCTACACAAGACGTCGCCACAATTGAGGCGTTGGAGTGGGCGGCCAGGTCGGACCCGTCGGGCGAGCGGACCATCGGGGTCATCACTAAGCCCGACCTGATTGATGACGGAGCGGAAGAGGAAGTCGGTGTCGTTCTCTCGAATAAGCGAAAGCCACTAAAGCTTGGCTATGTCATGGTCAAGAATCGAAGCCAAAGGGAGGTCGAGGAACACGTTTCCGTGCGCGAGGCGAGAAAGAGTGAGGCCGAATTTTTTGCTCAACATCGAGTCTTTTCGACTATGTCAAAGGATTTGTTTGGGGTTGAGAAGTTGGTGAGAAAGCTCACGGATGTCCTCGTGTCTCGCGTTTATAATGCGCTTCCTGGGATGCGCGAGGAGATTTCTTCGAAACTGGAGACGACAAGGAAGGAGCTTGACGAGCTAGGTCGAGGCGCCGGCGAGACTTCATCAGAGGCAAGTATGACTCTCATGCGCATTGTGTTTGAGTACAACAATTTGCTTACTGAATCGACTGTCGGACGGTATGTGGACAAGCGATTGTGGGCTCCTTCGATTCGCCTTTGTACGCGAGTGCGGGATTTGTATGACACATTTAAGGCGAGCGTAGAGAGCACGCGTCCACCTTTTGAAGGAGACAGCGCTTTTATTGACGAAGTGGAGAGCGATATCCGTAGTTCTCGTGGACGGGAGCTTCCGGGATTCCTCAACTCGAGGATTTTTGAATCGCGAGTGGCGCGCTACGTTGAGGATTGGCGTACCGCCTCGAACAAGCTTGTCGCCGATGTGCGAAAGGCCGCGGCTGAAGTGGCCAACGATATTTTAAGTTTGTTAGCACCGGAGTTTCCGGGGTTGAGACATAAGATGCATGAAATCATTAGCGAAGTTTTGCAAAGGCTCGAAAGGGAAGCGAGGGAGGAGATCAAGGCTTTGTTTGATCGCGAGGTGGGACAACCGTTCACGATGAATGATCAGTTCCTGGCGGCTGTGAACGAGAAGCGTTTGGATCGATTTGACCAGGCTGTGCAGATCGCTCTTTCGCGTACAGGTCGTGACATGCGGGGGAACATTCGGGAAAAGGCCGTAACAGACATGCTTCGGGCGTGGTACCAAAGCTACTATTGCTCGGGCAGCAAAAACAGACTGCGGGCTGAAGCGGAGGACATGGCTACTATGCTGGGTTGTTATTGGGACGTATCCTCCAAAAGGTTCGTGGACAACCAAGTAATGGTAGTGGACACTAATATTATTCGACCGCTTGCGCAGGAGGTGCATGTTACGATGAATGAGCTGGTGGTCAAGGTCGGAACTTCGCAGCAAATGCTGGAGAGGTTGCTGAGAGAGGATGTGGAGACAGTTCAGAGGAGACGGGCGCTCTCTGGACAGCGGGAGCGGCTTACCAAGGCTTTGGAGTTAATCGATCAGTTCTAGTGTGCCGAAGACAGGCCGTGATGCATGCGGCGGTAACATGAAGTAGGGCGCGAGTTCAGCGGCGTATTATCAGACCCGAAAGGACGACTAACTTAATTAAAGGAGGGATCGAACTTGTTATGGGATGTGGGAGGGTCTTAGTGGCCGCCGCGTGACTGATACTCGGGGCGGCCGTGGTACTCCTCCAGACGATTAGTTTTGGCGACAGGGAACGAGACAGGACCGGTTTTGCACGAAGCGTTGCGGATTCCCACCTAGCATTAATAGTCGCCCATGATGGGAATGGATCAAGACTACTCAGGGGATATGGCAAATCGCAATCAGAGGATGAGTACAGGCGCGATGTGAGATCTGATGGCGACGCTTCTGGGCGACGGTACAGATTCGCTTCGGGCTTGTCTCACGCTCGACTGTGACAGGAGTTGGGCAAATATCGAAGGGACGCGGTTGATGTTGTCGATTTTGATGGTCTGTCGGGTTCGGTGTGCAAAACGAGCGACGGGAAGCACATGTTACCGCCGGCGACAGGATTTATATACTGTACTGAAGGGTAGCAGGACGTTGCAGAGACTGCGAAGGTCGTCCACAATCAAAATACACGTGTAATGTGCGAGAGCTCTACGGCGAATGTAAAGGCTTCAAGAAATGGAAGTTTTCGTGAAATGGAGGTTTTTTTATGAAATGGAGGTTTTTGTGAAATGAAGGGAAATAACTTGCGAATGGTTCACAAGTCTCCGGAAATGGAGAGCTTAGAGAAAGACAGGTTGTCCAACGGGAGCATGAAAGGTCGAAGTTGAAGGAAACAGGGAAGAATTTCCAGAATTTGGAGGGAGACGTGCGTTTGTGGCGGTCGTCGTGGCCCAGGGGGCAAAGCTGCATGGTCAGGATCACACGTCGAAGTGGCTTGATAAGAGTCATAAAAGTTATCGAAAAAGCAGCAGGCAGGTTAAGGGCGCACGCGCCAATGGCTGACAATCATAAATCTGATGCAACGTGATCCAATCATGGCGCGTCGCGTCAGCCAATAACAAGCTAGACGACACCACCCCCAGCGAGTCCCGTTGTGCATCGGCGCCCCTACCCAGCTGTATTTATACGCCCCCACTTGCCCTCCCGTAAGCGCCCATTTGCTCGTGCGCTCCCCTATCGCATCCCATCCCGTCACTCTAAATCCTTCAAAATTTTCCCAACGCTTCTTCCCCTGCTCCCGTTGCTTCATGGGCGGTACATCCGGTGCCACCCGCCTCGACGGCCTCCTCTCTTTACTTGATTCCGGCTCCAATGCAGGCGTTCGGAAAATGGCCGCAGCACAGGTCGGCGATCTCGTCGCTGCCCATCCCTCCGAGACGAGGCCCGTCCTTAGACGCGTGCGCAGGCTGCTAAAATCCACAACTTGGGAGACAAGGATTGCTGCCAGCCACGCTATCGCCGCTATCGCAGAACATGCGCCCAGATTCGTCCCAGCCCTGCCAAAGCTTGAACCAGTCAAGGATGAGCAACTCAAGAATGAGCCTACGTCTATGTCTCTTGTTAAAGTCGATGCAAAAGAACATGCCGCCCTCACTATCCAGGCCCACTCTTCTATTCCCCCAAACCCCATTGTCGATTCGGGATTGCAGTTTGACAAACTAGATATTGAAAAGCTCATGGCGGGCGGCGCAATGCTTTTCGGTTCTTCCGGCGATGAGTACAAATCCGAAGAGACTAACATCGCCGCCCAACGCGCAAAGCTCAAGGCAGATCTGGGTCTGGATGATCGGTTCTCTTCAGGTGACATGCTTGGTCTCAAAGACGAAGATCTTGCTATATCCAAGATGCCTGTCACCAACGGTCTCCCACCCACAAACGTCCCCGCTACAGCTGATGTCGTCGCAGAGATGGAGCCCCAAGGTCTCAGTGCGCGCGAGCGAAATAGAAAAAAACGCGAAGCGAAAAAGCGAGCTCGCATGGGAGGTACCTCTGCTTCCCGCCCGAGCAAGCGCCCACGGACATCGGACAGTGAGTCAGCCCCTGACGACGGTGGTGCACCAGAGGTGTTCTCCTTGAGAGATTTGTCCACGCAAAGAGACGAAGAGGATGAAGAATTCGAGCGCGAGTTTGGATATAATTTTTGGGACTTTCAAGCCACTTGCGAGGTGTTCAAACAGAGTTTGCTCGAGCCGCGCTGGGAATGGAGACACGGGGCTGCGATTGGACTACGCGAGATTCTCATGCGCCACGCTACAAGCGCTGGCCGATGTTCACCAGGTCAACTGGGCGATCACGAGAACGCCAGGTGGCTTGAGGATGTGTGCTGTCGACTGCTCTGCGTCCTAGCTATGGACCGCTTTGGCGATTTCGTAGGCGACGCTGTTGTCGCCCCCGTGCGTGAGGCTGCCGCTATGACTATCGGTGCATCGTCACGCGCCCTGTCACCCGAAGATACTCGCCACTTGATCGCTCGTATTTTCTTTTTGCTCACGACGCAAAGCAGCTCTCAATGGGAGGTGCGCCACGCTGCTCTTCTCGGTGCGCGCTATATCCTAGCCGTGAAAGACGAGATGGCGGAGGAATTGATTCGCCTCTCTTTTCAAAGTATCACGGACGGCCTAAGGGACCAGGATGACGACGTGCGTGCTGTCGCCGCGGAGGCATTGCTGCCTGTTGTCCATCAGCTCATTGCTTTCATGCCTCACCAGGTCCCCGGTCTTGTCACTACTCTCTGGGATGCCTTACTTGACCTTGACGACATAAGCGCCTCCACGAGCAGTGTACTGCGTCTCCTTTCTGAAATTACAAAACATCCCCCACACACGGACTGCAATCTGTTATGGTTAGACCCGGAAGCCTTAAAGGAGGATTTTGATGAAGGCGAAGAAGAAGCGATTAGTCTGAATGGAAAGCGCGACCACAAGAAGGTAGACACCATGTCTGCCACCTTACTCGAAATTGTGCCTCGGCTATGGCCTTTTCTGCGACATAACTCCAAGTCCGTACGTCGGGCAGCCATTGAATTACTGGAAACCCTAACTAAGAATTTTGACAATGATGAGCTTTTGACTTGGGTTGTGCCTCTCTTCTCAGACTTGGTATCGCGACTCTTCCGGAATATTCTGCTCGAGCCCGAAAATGATACTCTGGAAATTTCGCAGAGAGTGTGGAAGAGAATACTTTTACCATTTGTGAGGAATCAAAGCTCAACTCGGGTCTTGGTACGGACAGCTGGGCAGATGCTGAAGCACTGGATGCAGGTATCCGCTCAGGAGACCAGGGCTGAAGCTTCTGTTTACGATGAAAGCCGTAACAGACCAAAGGAAACTCCAGCAGCTCGGCGAAGAAAGGCAGCCGCAGCTCGTCGGGCGGCCAAAGCGAGAAAAGCAGGGCGTGGCAAGAGCGTCATTCCCCACACCGTCCACGATGGAGATTCTGCTCCAATCAGTGAAGGTCCTTATGACGGCGTATTGATGCAGCAACACGCAGCTGAGGCGCTCGGTTTTGTCGCATCTCTGTGGCCACCCAACGATTTTTCAATTGATGCGCAACTCTTTGAGTCTATGCGAAGTCCATTTGCAAATGCAAGGCGGCTGGCATGCGACATTTGCACGCACTGGGCCGAGTTGTCCCATTCTCCCAACTTTGTATTCTCAGAAAGAATTCGTTCTTCACTTGAAAACGAGGTGTTGTCAAAGGGTGGCTGCGTTTACGCCGAGGTAGGATCGTCGGTGGGATCGTTTTTCACAGATTCCCTAGCGTTTTTGAACACCGTTCCAGAATCAATGATTGGGGGAGTCATCGATACATCAAGCCTGAAAATTTTCTGTATGGAGGGAAAGAAGGCTGTCATGGCTCGTGACTCTCCATCCGCTGCTGTGTGTGCAAGATCGATCAAGACTCATATGACTGCACTTGTTACTGGCGACACATGGGAGTACCTCCACACTTCCTTACGATCTGGTGGTATGCAGAAGAGAAAGCTTGAGTCATTGGAATCTCTGCGTATGCGGATACTGTCGTCTATCGGGTATACTGGGGTGCGAGAAGACTCCAGTAGAATTGCTCTGACTGCCAGTGCTACTTCTGCACTCGTGTCATCCACTGGAACCGCTCTACCCGATAAGGTTGCCCCCTTTATCAAGTCTCTTATGGCTGCATTGCGGACTTCCAAAAATCCTCACCTTCAAACTCAAGCAACGATTGCGCTGTCAAAGTTGGCCCTTCGATTGTCGGAGAGGGAATCGCAGAAACCTCTTTCGCTAATGATGAAGAACTTGATGAAGTATCTAACGACAGAGCAGCAAACAAGTGAAAAGCTCATCTTCCTTTCGGCTAAATCTCGGAATGCAGTTGAACTTGACGGTCCCGCCCTGGCGAAAAGAGGAGCTCTGTTCGCTTTCAACCAATTTTGCAAACGCTTTGGGGCTCAACTGTTCGAGAAGCTGCCGTGGTTGTGGAACAGAATCAGAAATGCAATGACATCCTACGATCCAACGGTTACTAACGAAGAGATCAACCAGGCAATGATTGTGCTGCGGGCGATAGTTGGACATGTCTCAGCTCAACTTCACGAAGTTATTGCCTCTCTCTTGCCGTGTATTGTCACTATTTGTGCTGCCCCTCACGACGCGTATTCCAGGCATGCTCCCCAATGTCTTGCGGACGTTGTCGCTGCTATCCCTGGAGATGGTATGCAAAACGTGATTTCAGGATTGGTTCCTCTACTCTCAGGACGTCAAGACCAAAAGGACGCAGATATTTCAGCGCGACGGGGAGCGGCGAAGGCGTTACGGGCTGTGGTGGACAGAATGGGCGCCGAGTTAATTCCCTATGCCGCGTTTATGGTCGTTCCAATGATGACCAGAATGGTTGATGAGGATGAAATTGTCCGGAAAGCGGCAGCAGGTGTTTTTGGCACTTTGGTTCGTTTGATGCCATTGGAAGGCGGAGCTCCGGACGATCCTCGCATGAGCCAAGCTATGGCAGAGGAGAGAAAAACAGCAAGAACGTTTCTGGGGCAGTTGCTCGGCACTGAACCACGCTCTCACTATGAGTTACCAGTGTCCATTGGGGACGGCATCACTCTACGTAAATATCAGCAGGAGTGCTTGGACTGGTTGGCGTTCCTCAATCGATACGAGCTGCACGGTGCGCTCTGCGACGACATGGGACTGGGCAAAACCCTAATGACGCTTTGCATCATTGCCGGGGACTTTGTTAATGGTTCACGCGAAGGTTCAGCGTTCCCAGCCCTTGTTGCATGCCCCAGCACAATCGTTGCTCATTGGTGTGAGGAGGCGCAGCGGTTTTTCGGGCATGTGCTACCATCTATCGTTCAGTACTCCGGTTCGCCCAGAGAAAGGGCACGGCTGAGAGGGGGCTGGAATTTGTCTCAAAGTGCGCTTGTCGTGACAAGCTATGACGTCTTGAGCAACGACCTACGGTTTTTCGAAAATGTTAGGTGGAATTATGTTGTTCTTGACGAAGGTCATGTTATCAAGAACCCGAAGACAAGAGTGGCCAAGGCTGTGCGGTCTCTCTCCGCTCGGCACAGATTAGTTTTGACAGGAACGCCGATCCAAAATTCTGTTCTCGAGCTTTGGGCAATGTTTGACTTTCTAATGCCCGGATTCCTTGGCTCTGAGAAGAGTTTCAAGGACACTTTTGCCAAGCCAATCATGGCGTCTAGAGAGGGCAAATGCAACGAGACTGATCAGGAGAGAGGTATGGTAGCTACCGAGGCACTGCACAGACAAGTCCTTCCGTTCGTACTGCGACGTCTGAAAGATGATGTTCTTGATGAGCTGCCACCCAAGATTATGCAAGATTACTACTGCGTTCTAACTCCTCTCCAGAAGCGCTTGTACGAGGACTTCCAATCTGAAATGAGTGCAAATGGAAACCTGGGCTCTTCCGGGGGCAAGTCTTCGGGCGGAACGCATGTCTTTACGGCTCTCAACTACATGCGAAGATTGTGCAGTCATCCAAAGCTCGTGCTTTCTAGAGACCATCCGGAATACGAAGCCGTTCACAAAGAGCTCCGCACCGAGGGTAAGACCATCAACGATATTGACTCGAGTGCTAAGCTTGTTGGACTGATGAATGTGCTCAAGGAATGTGGCATTGGAAACCAAGAATCAGGAATCCGCGACTCAGGTGGCCACAGAGTCTTGATTTTTGCTCAGCTAAAGAATATGCTTGATATCGTGGAGAAGGACTTGTTCAAGGTTCACATGCCTGATGTCACATATCTGCGACTTGACGGCTCTGTCGAAACCTCGAAACGTCAACCGATTGTCACAAGATTCAATGCTGATCCCACAATTGATTGCTTGCTCTTGACAACGCATGTGGGTGGACTCGGGCTGAATCTCACAGGTGCTGATACAGTTATTTTCCTTGAACACGATTGGAACCCCACAAAGGATCTTCAGGCAATGGACAGGGCTCATAGGATGGGGCAGAAGCGCACTGTGAATGTCTACCGACTAATTGCCCGAGGGACGCTAGAAGAGAAGATTATGGGTATCCAGAAATTTAAGACACACATTGCGAACACTGTCGTGAACAGAGAAAATTCCAACTTGCAGAGCATGAACACAGATCAGTTGCTAGATTTGTTCAAGGTAGAGGATGAGGACTCTGCAGAGGCAATGACTTCGGACGATGCCGCCGCTGGAACCGGCAAGGGGATGAAGGCTGCCCTTTCTGGCCTTGGTGAACTTTGGGAGGAGAAGCAATACGAAGATGAGTTCGATATGGAAAATTTCCTCTCAGGAATGCAATCGCGCTCATAACACTGCTTGTTCGCGAGCAAGCGCTGTGGAGAATACATGGCTAAATTTATACGTAGTTTTCTGTAGGCGTTGTAACATAGAGAAGGTAATCAAGCATATAAGCCGGGACTGAACCCCGGATTGTTTGGCCGCCCATCACACTTAGCTTCTAACATATTTATAAGTTCATGGCAATACTTTTTCGAAGGAGAACTAACCGTAAACCCTACCATCACCAGTCCATTCACGCCTGTACAATATCTAAAACAGTGCTTTACGTAGTATACTCTGCGTTAATTTCAACATACTTGTACGATAAATCACAACCCCAAGCAACCCCCGATCCTTCGCCGTTGCCCACCTTTACAGTTATAGCGACGGTGTCGTGTTCCGTTAGGTAGTCTTCAGGGGCAGCTTCCGACTTTCCCTTCATGTATAAAGAGGCGTCTTTTGCGTCAAACGGAACCGGGTTGCCCTTGGACATCAGTAGATAGTCCCCTAACCGGATTTCAAGATCGTTGATGTCAAACTTCGCTCCAGCCATGCCTGCCGCCGCAGCAATCCTACCCCAGTTGGGATCCCTTCCAAAAATGGCCGCCTTCACGAGACTCGAGCTGGCAATGGATTTCGCGATGGCTCTCGCATCCGCTTCCGTGTTGGCCCCCGACACCTGCACCTCCACTAAGACAGTCGCCCCTTCTCCATCCCGCGCGATGCTCTTCGCTAAGTGAATACATGTCGCAGTGAGTAAACTTTCCACTGCCTTGGCCTCGGGCGAATTCTCCACTTGCACAACTACCTTGGAAGCGCCACTGCACATTGCGCAAACAACGTCATTTGTCGATGTATCCCCATCAACAGTTATTGCGTTGAAAGACCTGTCAACAGCCCGCTTTAGCATTTTGTGCAGAAGTCCTTTTTCCACATCAGCGTCGCAGGTCACCACCCCTAACATTGTAGCCATATCGGGATGGATCATACCAGATCCCTTACACATTCCGCCAGCTGTCACGGTACTACCCGCTACTTCATCTTGGAAGGCAATTTGTTTCAGCTTCAAGTCTGTCGTCATAATCGCAGTCGCAGCGGCGGTGCCGGATTCAACCGTGCTAGAAGCTTGCGATACAACTTTCGGAAGAGCCTCTCGCATTAAGTTGATATCAAACCTCTTGCCAATGACTCCAGTAGAGCATATGAAAACATCACTGGGCTGGCATCCAATAGCTTCGGCGGCCAACTCTGTCGTCTTGATTCCATCGGCGAAACCATCAGTCCCCGTGCCAGCGTTAGCCTGTCCGGAATTCAGCACAACAGCAGCAACCATTCCGTCGCTTTGCTTTAGATTCTGCTCTGAAATGTCCACTGGGGCTGCCCGGAGAAGATTCTTGGTAAACAAAGCGGCAGCAGTCACGGCTTTGTTGTCTTCAGCCAAGACAATGGCCAAGTCCGGTAGGCCTGAAGGCTTAAAGCCTGCAGTGTGACCACCTGCTTTGAATCCTTTCGGAGCAGTGACACCAGCGTCAATTTTTGTGACCATTCGGGTGGGGCACAGGGCCGGGCATGTCCTTCGCGAAGTGAATCGACCTCCCCGCAACGAGGAAGGGAGCGACACTTGAAACGCACAGTGAGACATTGTGCTGTGATGAGACCCTAGTTACGCACAGATGAACAGCAAAAAAAACTTTTAAAGCCTATGGGATGCTTTGAGAGACTTCAAGGCCGGTGTGCGATGCTCTTATACTTGGATTACTTGTTCTCTTGAAGGGACAGACACCCACACAGACACACTGCAAGGATTCCTGTGGGAACGCTCTGTGATCTCCAAAGAGCGATGCAACGCTGGACAAGCGTCTTGCATCCGATGCTCAGGAACTAGAAGACCAGGTTATGAGGATGTACAGCACATCAATGCGGGAGTCAAGTGCAACCTCGCAAACCCATGTACCAGTGAACACTGCTGGTGAGGTATCGAAAGGATCTGAAAATGATCACAGCAATCCAGCACCGCATCGAAATTTTTGCTTTTCTGAGAGGAGCTGAGGGCCTCCCGATGCGCGCATTGGCTGTGCTCGATCCCCCAGAATCGTAAGATGGCGATTGCTGTACGAGCTGCAGCATTACTTCTTTTATCCTGGATGGAGAGCAAAACAGCAGAGCAGCTCCCCAGCGAGGAGCGGTATCCTCTTCAGATGAAGAGACTTCCGTTCGCAAACCCACACCATAGAGTCTCGGTCATATGAAGACTCCAACCACTAGACTAGGGGAAGGGGGACAGGCTGAGGTTGCAGGGCTTTCTTTGTGCGATTACAGCGACGCACGCAGAGCATTCGTACTCTTCTCAATGTTGGTGTCTCAACGACCAAGCCGATGTACAATTATCCACACGAATGATCCCAAACTGATCAAGGAGTTTCGCATTTCTGAGCGCAGAATGCAGCAGTGTCTCGACGAATCTGAAGATAGCTATTTCTTCACTCGTCTCTTTTTTGGCTTCGGAGCGTTTGGATTGCTCCTTGTATAAAACTCTCCCAGCAGTTGCACAGCAGTTGCAGCTTCAACACCGCTCTGGATTTCCGGAACAAACATGTCATCCCCCCCCTTCCCACATTCCTTATACATATTAAGTGAACGAACTGACCCACAGCCGCCAAAACGAGGGTTGGAGCACCCAAACACAATTTTGCCGATGATACCAATCTGCACGATGGCCGCCGCGCACATCACGCAGGGTTCACATGTCACGTAGAGGGTCAGCTCGCCGCGGTTAAATTTTTGCGCGCCGAGTGCTTCGAATGCCACCAGCTCCGCGTGTGAGGTCGCGTTTCCGAGCTCGTTTGTGCGGTTAGAGCCAACGGCGACGCACTTTCCTTTCGTGTCTATCAGAGCGCATCCAACGGGCACTTCCCCACGCTCTAACGCTTTGCGAGCTTCTTCCAAGGCTTTTTCCATGTTAATTGAAGTCATTTGAAGGCGAGTTGTTCTCCTGTCAAACGAGCTTGCGCCTACAGACCAAATGCTCCAAGGACGCGGTCGTCACAGACGCGAAAGCACTCCTCAAGACTGAACGCTCTTCCTGAGAAGGGCTACTGCTTCGCTTCAAAGCATATGTACACGTGTCATGTTCATTGTCATTGCTGTGGTATTTGTGGACAATGGCCCTTTCTATCTCCTCGTTCAGTGAACAAGCTTTGCCTGAAAATGTCTCTTTGCATACTTACGTTGTGATCCAAGTCTCCTCATCAGCATCTGGTTTAAGGACAGGAATTAAAGTTCGCTTAAATCCTATAAAAGGCCTTCATCATTCTTGTGGTTGCGGTATTTGTGTATGGACCAATCAGTGTCTGTCTGCACTACTACTGCATTCAATGCTCTCACTCTAACTTATGCGGCCTTTTCCGTCCCAAAGTCATATCGTATCCAGGGATGTCGAAGCCGGCACAGCATCACTATTCCAGATGAAGCTTTTTGTTCACATGTAGGTCGAAGCAGTGTGGAACTTATGACTTGTCTCAGTCATGAATGAAATCCCTTCAGTGTTTAATGTTTTCTTCAATACAGAGTAAAAAGCATCGTATCCTCTCTCTCTGATTCATCTTTATATCTACACAATCATTAGCATTATTTCTTTTTATGAGTCATTGTGCATTGTGTACTTCTGCAGTTCCTTAAACGCGAAAGCAAGATCATCACTTATCCCGAAATCATATTCAGATTCATTTCGTTTCGCGCTTCTTTCGAGTGTAACCTTTATACCATAACTTTCAGTGTTTGGATATTTGCAACACTTGTACCATTCCGTGAGATTTTCGGGCAGTAGTCTCAAAACGTGACAGTGTACTACATGACTCGAACCGGGGGATCATCCACGACGTACAAAAGGTCACTACCGAACTGAACTATTCCTGCGTGTATGCTCTCGACAAGCGCAGATACATTTATCAGTGCACCTAGAACCACAGAGATTGACCCACGACTGGGCCAGTGGTCTCATTGTAGCCTTAGCAAGGGCTCTAAACTCGATCCATGCTTCCTTTGTGCAAGTGGAGTTCTCCTTCGGGTGTGGCCGAGGGCATTTCGGAACTTATCTCGGAAGCTCTTCGATCAGGACCTTCAAGAGATCGACAAACTTGAAATGCATCACTGATCCGTGAAGCCTGTGTATGGTGGCTAATCACACTCTGGCTTGGGGCATTTGGTCCCGGTTTCTGTTGAGATTGCGCTTCAGCTTGAGACCGGATGTGGTCTTGCAGTGTTTCCGCTTTCGCATTCTGAAGGTCGCTATCGAAGCCAAGTTCATCCACAACTTTATCCGTGAGGAAGGCGAAATTCTCAGGACTCTCCACAATCCATTTGATGAGTTTCTTCTTCTCTTCTTGAGATAGTTTCTCGACGTCTAAGCTCTCCAGAGGGTTCATAATGCTCGAGTATCACAAGAAAACGAGCACGCACGGTGATAGGAAAAGTGTGTGCTGGGAAGCAAAGTAAATCAGTAGGAGCACCCAAGACAATATCACTCCACGAACAACATGGGATGAACAGTGGGGAATTGCTTGCCACTTATTTATAATATTGTACAAAGGGATATCGGCCAGGCAAGTTCTAAGGACAGTGCGAGACAGTATCACGGTGCTAGCTTTGTTAGTAATAACGCGAGTGCTTGTGGAGATCCAATTCAAGGCCGAAGAAAGTTGACCGATCGTGCAACAGGGATCACCTGCGAACGGCAGAGCCGCGAATCACAAAACCATTCGTCAGACGCATCAATTGTGCGGTTCAGAAACGAATAACATTATTCACAGATGCTTTCAGCTACGTTGGTTAAGGGTTCGCTGGGCCAAGCTATACGGAGACCACAGAGTAAAAAGCGAAACCACCATCGATGACTGATCCGTGCAACTCATACTTCGGCATCTAACTGTCTGTTTGAGAATGCGGTTTTGCCCGAGCGCTAAATCGGTGAAAGTATATTAGTCCCCGCATATAAGGGATGCTCATTCCGTAACTGAATGTTTGATTGCACAACACAAAACCCATATCTGCATGTATTGGGCGACTGTCTGTCGCCCGAGCCCACAATCTTCGAATTGGAAACATATTCATCCCTATGAACACGGGCTGAGTGCCCCGATCCCTGGAGTGACCAGCAGAGGGTGACCTACACGATTAAACAACCAGTTGTCCAAAGACAGCACGTCGTGGCCACTGAAAATTAAGTACAGCATCTTCAAGGTACTACCCATAAAGTCGCTAGGCATATTATTGCCTTTCGTGATGTTGCCTATGGTTGATTCTTCGAGAATTGTGAAGGCTCCGCTTCGCACTTTGCATTCCCTGTCGATGTTGATGAATGTCTTCCAGGCTTCGTCCCGGTACATGTTGTCCTGCGTGGTTCTCCACATGTAAAACAAAGCATCAATCAAATCAGACTGCAACCTGTACGCCCCGGTCGTGATCCATACCCCACCATTATACCTGGCCGATTCACCGCCCAGCATACCTGGAAAATGTCGATACATATTGATACACGAATTTGTAATGCCTTCCGCGACCTCCCGCCATTGCTCTACTTGTCTTGCAGAAACACCAATGTGCGTCACACCGAGATGAAATACTGCTGGCAAGTAGCACATGGCTTGCTCTACAACTGCGTCAGTTTCGTTCTGGCCGTCGGCAAAAGAGCGGACGTGTAGATCTCCCGTCGGAGATTGATAAATCGCACGTTGCAGTAGCATGCGCATAGATGCATCTAATGGGTATCGCAAGGAAGCCTCGCAGCCTCCTCCCTGTCTCCACGCCTTTGTCAGATATTCGTAGAACCCTTTTGCAGGTGTGGAGAAAGTGTTCATCTTGTCCACAATCGGGCCGGCACCCACCGTTTCAACTGCGCCATGCCACAACTCAACCATGTATGCGTAATACGACTCCATCGAAGTAGGATTGAGCGAACCAAACAGCCCAGAGGTGGACTTAAGCAACCTCTCAGCATATCGTAGAGAAACCAGCTCTCCGGTTGCCTTCACTCCCGAGACGTTGCGAGCTCGCATTAATTCACTCGTAATCTGCTCGCGAAGCAACAATGGCCCGGCCTCAACAACAGCATGTACAGCACGTTCGGCCTTGCACCTAATCCCCCGAATCTCTTGCCGAAGCGAATGAAACCCCAACGCTCGAAATTCCAAAGACAGGCCGCCTGCCTGCGACTGGGTGGTATCAGTGCCCTCGCACTTGTACGGGCTGTGCTCAAAACCCTGCTGCCTCACTGCCGACAAGCGGCAACGAGGGTACGGCACTCCGTTCAGGGTACTGAAAGCCGGGCTCAGTCGCCTTCCTAGATCCTCGGCTTTTTGCAAAAACATGAGATCTGCCGTGAGCTGATACGCTGAGATCAGGCCTCCTAGAATCCGCGTTGTTACCTCGTGCACATTAACAAAGCCCTCTACATTATCAAAATGCAACTCTTTCTCCACCCATTCCCTTGCCTTGGCGTATCTCGAATCGAGCCTCATGATATACAAAGTCCCTAAAGCTTCCACGATCGAAGCCCCCATCCCACCTAGAGTGTCCAGCCCATCGCCTGTGAGAGGTCTAAGCGTATCCTGCCCCCATGCGCCCGCGACATAGGCGTCCCAAGCGTTCATGGCGGCGGTTCTCACAGCGCGGCGCCTGTTCTCATTCTCTCTTTCGTCTACAGACAGCGAAGGGTCGATAATACGGGAAACGGGAGGTGGGGAGAAAGAACCGACTGGCTCTGCTGTGGTGCAAGTGTCTGCGTCGTGGCAACCGCATTGGAAGGGGTCGAAGGGGATGTCGGAGGAGGCATGCGGTAAGGCGGCCGGAGGGGGGGAGGGGACGAGAGAGAAAAACAAGGCAAATGCGAAGAACAGGAGAACAATGAAGAAGAGGGAGAAACGCGTGAAAAGAAGGTACAGGACCCGTAGGAGACGCTGACGGCTAGTGAGAGCGATTCTGTGGGAGTGCTTCGCGATGAAGCGCATGCTGGAGAGGGTTAGGGAAGGAAGGGATGAAGAGAGAGACAAGCAGGGATAGTGAAGAAGAGAAAGGCGTAGATGCGTGCCGACTGTGGAGTGACTCACGCGTTGGAGGGAGGGAGGGTGGGTGGAGGAGAGGTGAACGGGGATGGGAGGTGTAGTTCTGTGAATGAATAGATAAGAAGTTGTTGCGGTAGGGACGGTTCGGAGACCTCCTCAACCGTTTTTGCCTGTGTGTTGCATATAAAGATGTATCATGTGATACTGACGTCATGTTAAGAGATAAAAGAGCAGAAGAATTATGCATGGAGGACTGGGGACTCGGAGGGGAAGATGACGAAGACGATGGCCCGTGGTGGCATGGGGTGCATGGCCAGTTTTGCAGATGCGATTCATGGGGCGCACCAGGACAATAAAAGTTTGAAAGAGGGATGCGTCAGGATTTAAAGCATGTGTGAGAAGAAGTGTGACTCAGTTCAACGACAAGTGGAAACTTTTCTGTGGCTGAAAGTATACATTGCTGGTACAGCCATCAAACAGGATGCCCTATAAAACCGAATGATTTTATTCGGCGATTTAATGTATGCAGAAAAATACCATCTGATACTATCCTGCACTTCACAAATAAGGGCACTACAAAAGTATGCACTATTAGATCTTTCCGTTTGGTGCCGTCGGCGACAGCAACCTGCCTGCTGAGTGGGGCGCCATTGCCGCCTCATCCCCCATCCACCGCCAACTTTACTTTTCCAGCCGCACCTCGCCGTCAAAATGGCGAGCCTCGCCGGCCTCGACACGCAAAACCAAGCATGGGCGTCCGACCGGACCAAGTTTGGGTACCGCATGCTGGAGAAGATGGGTTGGAAAGAAGGCAAGGGCCTCGGCGCGAACCAGGACGGCTCCACCAAACACGTGCGAGTGCGCAAGAAGCTGGGGGCCGCCGGCATTGGCGTCAGCGACCGCAACACGGCATGGGACGTCCCTGGGAAAGTGGCCACGGGGTTGAATGACGTCCTCAGCAGACTACAGCCGGTTTGTGCAGGTGCTGCTGGGGGAAGGGTGACGGAGAGCAAGTCGACGAAGAGGGCAAGAGGTTACTATGAAAGGAGGAGAGCGGGGAAGAGTGTCGGTAACTATTCGCGGCAGGCTTTGGCTGAGATTTTTGGGGGCGTGGCTCCTAAGAACGAAGATGATGAGGAAGGGAAGAGAGACAATGCTGCGGTCGTCGTGCGAGAGTTGACTGAGTCTGGACAGGACGATTCGAGAAAACGCACAAAAAGAGCACAAGACGGTTCCGGATGTGAGGAGGCTTTGCTCCGAAGAAACAAGTCGAAGAAGAGTTCGAAAAATGGTGATACTAAGAGGCGGAAGAAGAAAACCACAGTATTTAAACAAGAAGACGCGGACCGGGATTCGAAAGCTTGTTCGATTGAGGATGGCCGAAAGCCTTCAAAGAGAAGGGATGCTTCCACAGATTTGGAGGGCTTAATGAAGGTCAAAGACGAACCAGTCGCAGGTGGGCTTCTCTCTGATTCCGCCATAGAGTTGCCCAAAGCTGGGGTGAAGAAGGAGCGCAAGGTTGCGGTGAAGGAGGAGCCCACAGTGGAGGCAAAGGAGGAGCCTATGGTGGAGGCAAAGGAGGAGCCTATGGTCGAAGTGAAGGAGGATCCTATAGCTGTAAGAGTTAAGATCGAGCCTACTGAGAACTCGGGATTATACGAACAGGTCGAGAAGGGAGTACAAAACGAAGAGATAGCAAAGATAAGAGAGAAGCAAAGCAGAAGGGAAGAGCGCAAGTTGCGCAAGATGGAAAAGCTTGTAAGAAAGGAAAAGAGAGAGAAGAAACTTGGCGTCGGGTTGGACATTAAGAAGTCGAACAAGAAAAGTCGTCGGTCAACGCTGAAGTCAAACTGAGAAGTGTAATTCTGTCACGACTAGAGGTGACTTAGCGGTTCACGCCCGTGAGAGTGGCCATTTTCGAGGATTGAAGGCAGGGCTGCAAGTAGGACAGTCCAATTTTGTGTAAATGCATGTCATCTCTTAACTCCTATGCCCCCAACTGGCATATTACCGGCTTTACCGGTCGATGCCCTGCTTTCATGGGAGGCGCGCGTAGCACTTGGCTCGCGTTTCCGGCGCTTGTATTCTGCTTGGTCCTTGAAGTAAGTGTCCCATACGCAACTGTCGCAACCATTGCCGCAACACTCGTACTCTTCTGGCATTTTTGGCGGCTTTAAGTGCGTTGCCATAGTGCGGGCACCTGAGGATAGCACTGGAACGCGTTTGGGGAAGCTAAAATTCACGTAGGCCGTTTCCAGGCAATTCGAAAGGGTTTGCGAGAGCTTCCGCCTGCCATTCATTGAACGGCACCCCACAAACCCTTGGGTCCTTCGAAGGCGACCTTATGTTTTAAGAGTTCTGTTATGTTGCGGCGTCTAGCGAAGTCTGTGAAAGCCTCCCGCACAGGCAATCAAGTACCGTGCGTATTGGGACCTCTTCCAGAGTCCAGAGTTCAGACGGCACCGTTCAGATGAGTGAACCTGCTGATTTCCAGATAAATTCGTGGTATGATGATCTCATCAGCAGTTGGGCTTCTTCGAGTGCTCGGATACTTTACAAGTAAAGCTGGTCAGGGTCATGAGGAGCAAGGCGGTTCGGCACAGTCGCCCTTCGAATGGTTTCTACTGCTCTGGCTAGCTCCAGTATAGCTAGACGCACTGCTTTCTATGAGTACGCACTGAGGACAACGGTTGAAATGAAAATATCCAAAAAACTATCTAGATAAACGCGCTGCTGTGCTCGTCCCAGAATTTTCAATCACTTGCCCTGCCCTTCTTACGTATCAGTCGGAATATCGATTAAGGCGCACGCTACCTTTTGGGGTTCTCAAAGTGTGCATCATAGCCGGACTTTCTCAAAAACAACTGGGAGTACACGGACAGTTAATGCTGTTCCCACCGGGATGTGTCTGGCCTCCACCCAGAACCCGGTCTGCTATGGTCTGCTATTGGGGTTTGGGGGGCTTAAATCCAAGTGGTCCAATTAATTAATTAATTCCTTGTGATTGGATGGTAGAGATACTACTTTATGATAAGGATTTCCTTTGATCCAATTGAGGCTCTGCAACGGGAAATATTACAAAATATACGAAATACTCACATCTAGAGACTCAATAGGCAGACTCATGTTATCTCCCCGTCCTAATGCAGGGAGCTCGAGTGTGATCACCTGCCGCGCCGTTTACTCTGTTCCGGGAATTTAAGAAAACAACTTGCTCCTAGACTAGCAAACCGTATCGGGTCATCGCAACTTTGAACTGCGCTGACGAACGCATTCTTCACGAAAACGGAATGGCACCTCTCGGCTTTGTTGGCGCACCAGCCTCTTCCTTTCTCGGCCGCGAGCTCTCAACGAGAGCGAAATGCTCATCTAGACCTGCACATGCGAGGCGTCTGCGAATGGGTCTCCAGGTAAAGACGGCACCTCTTCCCAACAGCCAGGTTAGCATTGAGATTTCCGTCGGCAAAGAGGAATGCTCTGCCGCTTGGGACTCTGTTGTCCGTGACGTCACGAAGAAGGCGACAATCGATGGATTCCGCAAGGGGACCGCCCCGAAACAAATCGTTATTAACCAAGTTGGAAAGGAAAGAATCAAGGCCGGCGCCTGCGAGGCAGTGATTGAGAAGTCCATTCAGAAGGCGCTTAAGGATTCTGGCCTTCAAGCAATCGGGCAGGCCGAGGTCGATGGCGGTGTCGAAACCGTTATTTCTAATTATGACCCGAAGAGCCCACTCAACTTCAAGATCAAGATTGATGTGTGGCCGGAAGCGAAGTTCACGGAGTCCTATGACAATATGGCGGTCGAGGCAGAGGAAGCTCCATTTGAAGAGGCCCTCATCGACAAGGCGCTGGAGGACATGAGGAAGAAGCAAGCCTTTTCCGTGCTTGCCCCAGAAGGGACTACTGCGAGTCTAGGCCAAATTCTGGCAGCGGATATGGTAGGATACTACAAAAAAGATGATGGCACGAGAGGGGATAAGCTACCGGAAATTGCCGACGGCAAGTCTATTGAGATCAATATGACTGAAGGACAGTACATGGCGGGCTTTGTGGAAGGCCTCATTGGTATTGCTGTCGGAGAAACGAGAGACGTGAATGTTGCATTCCCCGAAAACAATCCTAGGCCAGAACTGGCTGGCCTCAAGGCTATTTTTGAAGTGACTTGTCATGCTGTCAAGGACAATGTTCTTCCCGAATTGAATGATGACTTTGCGCAACAAGTTAGTGAGGAGAAGACGCTTGAGGAATTCAGGGACACAATTCGCGCACGTCTTGGAGTCGAGACTGAAGCAGCGCAAGAAAAGAACATCAATGCTGGCATCGATAACAAGCTTGCATCCATTGTTGAAGTCGATCTTCCTGAATCTTTGGTCGAGAATCAAGTCAAAAATAAGTTTGCGAATATGCTTTCTTCATTCAAAGACAACGGGATGTCTGATGACCAAGTCAAGGCAATGGTTACAAAGGAAAATTTCGAGTTGTACAAAAAGCGGGCAAAAGGAAATGTCGAGAAAAATCTGAAAGTTAACTTTGCTGTGAGCAAGATTGCCAAGGAAAAGGACATAAAGATTGACGCAGAAGAAGTAGAAAACCAGATTGCTCTGGTTCGTGCGGAATTGAAGGGTCAAGAGATGGAGGAGGAGAAGATTCGCGATCAAGTTGAGGCGCAATTAGAACGGGACCTCGTGCTGAAGTACATCAAGGAGACGGCCACAGTGACCCTGGTGAAAAAGGAAGAAGGGAAAAGTGAATAAGAGGACTGGACGAAGGCCTTACGAAGAGTTGCGAGAGCATGAAAGTTTACACGTTGCTTTTATACACGAAAACAGGAGCAAACGCTTGTCACAGATATTGTAGACACGGCCTAGTTAGTAAGTTGGAATGTTAGTGTATCTACGAAGGGTCCTGTTTGATGGAATCTAATTACGCCTCACGATGCTGCTGGTCCTGGACTTGGCTGCGATTTAGACTGTTTGTGATGCTCCCCATGCTTGTGGTCCAGTGTTTCGATAGCATTGGCTTCAGTCATCTTCGGCGAAGGCACAAAAGTTGCATTGTCCTGGAGCCTCACCCGTTGCTCCTCGAATCGCTCCCGTAAAGCCTTCAGTCTCTTAAAATCCTCAAGTTCTTTTTCACTCCGTTGAGAAGATAACCCTACTGCGTATTTTGTGATAGGGTCATCGCCATGAAAACTGGAATAGCAATCTGAAATTGAATTCAAGCGAAGTCTAAGCTGTAAGTCGACCTCTTCCCGTTCTGATGCTCGCCGAAGGACACAAGCGGAACGACCCTGAACCTCAATTGCTCCTATCATCGGCATTCTGAGGCCACGCGTCCCTGAATGTGTGGCATCGACAACTTCCACCCATATGGCGTCTCTCTCGTGGTCTGGCAATTCGAATACTACTTGAGAAGGTGTGGGGTTCAGCAACACGACGACCTCTGTCCATTTCATAGACTCTTCTCTCAGAGCTTCGTAATCTGCATCTGGATTGGTTGTCAGAAGTCTTTGGTACAGTTTTGCAGAGTTGCCTAAGATTCGATAACCTATGCACCGCTCTGGCACTGCAAGTCCGAGATCCTCATAAAAGACCAAACCCTCATGGATCTCGTCCGCCGTGCTTTTGCAGAAGAGTTCTGGATGTGCCCTTCTCAGAAGGATGAGCCCACGGTAATACTGTACCGTTGTCCACTCTGATTGTTTGGCTTCCCAGCGCACCATATTAATCTTGTCTGGTGACTCATAGGAATTCTCGACGTCAAACTTGGTTCGGCACATTTCCTGTCCCAGCTGCATGAACGGGATTCCCTGGGAAGTAAAAACGATAGCTGCCGCAAGTCTGTGCATTCGTCGCATATCATTTTCAGTGAACACTATGTCATCTGTTCGTGATCGAATGTAAAACCTGAAGTGATCCCACAAAGTATAGTTGTCATGACATTCAACGTAGTTAACTGTCTCTGTGGGAAAATCGCAGAAGTCATCCACGGAACCAATTATCCCACCTTTGATCTCAGTTAATCTACTGCCGTCCATTACAAACGTTTCCTCTGTACCAAAGGGAGATCCTCTTATCGCATCCCGAAAAGTATTGTTGAAAACCCCAAAGCCTCTGCTGCGTTGACAACCTTTTGCAGTGATTCGTATCGGAGAAAGACCGCCAGCCCAAGGCTCGCCGTAAATCATGACATTAGGATTGATCTGACGGAGTTCAGAGCCTGCCATCTCCAAGGTGTCGACATCAATCAAACCAAGCAGGTCAAAGCGAAACCCGTCGACTTTGTATTCGGTAACCCAGTATTTTAATGAGTCAATGATAAACTTTCGACCCATCGGTGACTCGCTTCTCAACTCATTTCCACATCCGGATCCATTGGAATAACATGCACCGCACCTCGGCTCATCTGGCTTCCTCATTGCGCATGTACTATCCCCTGTGTAAGCAACAGGGGTATTCCCGCACGTTCGATAGTAGTAACGAGGAGCCAACCCATTAAAAGAAAATCTGGCATCCAAGTTGTATTCGTTGCTGTCTTCAGCTGTGTGATTGTAGACCACATCCATAATCACTTTCAAACCGGCCTTGTGGACGGCATCCACAAGCTGCTTAAACTCTGTGACACGGGCCACAGAGCTGGTCGAAGAAGCGTACCAACCATCTGGGGAGTTGAAGTGCACTGGCATGTATCCCCATCCATAGGATGAGTCATCATTTTCGTCGTTGTCGAAATCCTGAATTGGTAGAATCTGAATAGTGTTAACACCCATCTGCACAATGTGATCAAGAGCAGATGAGAATTTGTCCAAGCTTTGCATGCCTACCTCTAGGGTCGGAATCAATTCTTGTTTCCACGGCGTCAGAGGCTTTGCGCTAGTGTCACCGGTTCCAGAACCAGAAGAGACTGCCTTCATTTTTGTCCCACGCTCCGTTACGCCCAAAAATTTCCCGCGCTTTATAACACTGCTATTCTCATCGATAGTTAGATCGCGGACGTGCAGCTCATAAATAATAGTTTCCGAAGCAGGTATGCAAGGGCCTGGCTGAATAGCAGTCTTTTCAAAACCGAATATTAGCCCCCGCCCAGTGTGACTAGTATTGCAACGTGAGTATGGGTCTATAACTTCCACTCCTGGAAAGAGGCGCGGGTTTTCTCCACCTGCTCGCAGCTTGTAGTATTTTCCTTTCAAATCTTCTTCGACGATGGCCTTCCAACAACCTTCAGGAATTCGTCGCATTGGCACAGCTCGTCGCCCTTCTTTGCCGTGGGGTGAGTTGTAAAGGATAACGTACATGTTGTCTGCAGTAGGGGCAAAGCATTTGAAAGAACATTTCGTGACTTCATATTCCCACCCTAAGGTGCCAGTATAATGATACTTGTCCCAATCCTCGTGAATGCGCCATGTTAACCTTACTGAGTCAAACCCAGGCACTGTTACAGATACGTTCTCTATCAAGAAATCCTCTTCAAAGCGGACAGCTTTTTCATTAAACGTTAGTCTGAACTGGGTTGGTGCGACCTCGTGAAATTTCCGAATAGGCAAGACAATACCAGTGGTATCGTCTTCTATATGACCATCAGCAGATCTGAATCCATTCGTCGCAGCCGAACATACTCTCACTACTGTATCAGATATTGCTTGCGAGCGGCCTCGATTTGGAGGGGAGACCCAGGCCACAGGAACTGGAGAAGCGATGATTATAGACTCTTCTGAATCAACGTATGCTGTCATCATTGATTTCACCTCTTCCAACTTTCTCAGGATGAGGCTGCTTCCCTGGACAATTGTGAACATGGGAACAGAAAAATCTTCTTGAAATGGGCACTCTCCTCCGATCTCTGTCGAAGGCGCATCAGTTACCAAGGCAACGTCCAAGGTGCGACTGGTCCTATTGCACATGTCATTCCGCCAAACTCGTGTAGGTTCATCACGCTCGCTCCACATCTCCCTATTTTTGCGGGGGACGAGGGATATTGAAGCACCAGCACCGTATCTCGCTCTATCAATCTCAAAGTCAACCCATGCTCTCGTTATGGAATCTGGCATTGGAGCAACGGCAATCCTATTATTTTCCGGATCGCTTTCGTCCCACGTCCACAAATCCCACTCATCGTAGTCCTCAGGAAGGTACCGCCGATATCTAAGGCGAAATTTCCTTCCATAACGCATATCGGCAGCCAGTGGCGCATCCGTCAAGACTTCGGAATGCCCCTGCAAAAAGTGGAGGACCGCTGCTGGCGCACTTCCACTAACCCATTCCCGTACGACGTCGCGCCGGAGAGCATCCGTATATGGTTCCCCCTGATACTGCTCGCCGTGCTCGTTCGTCAGCATTCTCCCAGGAAATAATGCCATGCGTACCGGTTCGGCACGGACCACAGCGCCGCAAGGAAATAAGTAGCCATCAAAATTAAACCGAGCGATGCCGGGCAATATAGAGCGTTCTGGCTTCAACATGGTCGAATAAGCCGGATGCCTGTCGTTTGCCTCGGTCCAAACATGAAGCTCCCAGTCATTCCAGTCCTCAAAGTCTCCAAACCTATGGTACATCACGGACAGATTCACATGTTCAATTTTGATCAGTTCCGAAAATGATTCCGCAAGAACGACATCCAAACCCATCTCGGGGGTCCACAAGAAAGCAGTTCCGATTTTTCCTCCGACGACTGGGACAATCCTCAGCCCTTTTGAAATCTTTTCTGGTGACAATTTAACTAGATTCACGTCAAATATAGGTCTGCCATCGTCTAGAGTCTCAAGCCGTTGAGGCAGGAGCGTCATTCTCGAAGAATCCGTGACCAACAAATCCACTTTTACGTTGTATACGTTCCGCCCTAGTTGCTTGAGATAAACTCTCAAGGGCTTCCCCTTGGGCGGAACGTGAACACATTCCGGCGGCGGGATTGTGGACGGGGCTGAACGGATTATTGACAGCGATGGACATCTGTCCGCTTGAGCGGCAAGGAGGAGCGGAAGCGGTGTCGTGGTAAGGTCCGGGTGCAGCTGTAAGTTTCCATTGTCGTCGCGACGAAGCTGAATGCGAGAAGCGCTCGTAACTGGAAGATCGAGAGTGGCATGCTTGTTCGATGGTCCAGCAATGCAAACAGCATCAGAGTGCTCAACAACTGTGGCAATGGATACGGCACTGCCGGCTAGAACAGCTTGGTCAAGCAAATACAACGGCGGAGCTTGGGGGTCTCGGAACGGCGATGAAACCGGAAATAGCTCGCATTTGGTGCCTCCGTTCAACAAGACGATCCATGGGTTGGAACTGGAATCGGATAAGCTGAGACCGACAAAGCGCGGAGATGCGATTGATGGAAGTTCGAAAGCGAATGGATCGCCGTACACCGCGGAATCGCCTTGAACGATGAAGATGTGCAGGTCAGAGCTGGTGGTGGTGGGGACCGTAAGGAGACGCGGCGGGTTGTCCGTGCCGAGAATGGCGTGCGTGGGGAGGACGGAGATGGAACAGGAGGAGAGAGCGGACAGCGGGATGCGGAAGGCGGTGCCGAAGGAGGTGACGCCGGATTCGCAAACGGGGGAAATGACTTTGATCGGGGTGAAGGGGGAGGATTGCGAGGCAGAGAGGAAAAGGTCCCATCGGTGATGATCGCCCTGCGTGCGGTGGTAGTGTATTACTAGGGAACCACGAGATTGGGATTGCATTACGGCGGTGGGAATGAAACGAAGATGGTACGACAGATTGGGGGAGGTGTGTTGAGGAAGGCAATGGCAACTTTTAGGATTCAGTTGACGGAGTGCTGGAATGAGGCTTCTCGACAGAGAAGAAGGCCTTTCCCGCAGGCACTATTCCAGGGAAGTACTTTGCGGGAAGAGGGCTTACTGAGACTGCATCTTGCCGTGAAGCATCGGGGTCGATACCGTGCCGACTAGTGTTTGACTGGTAGGGAGAAAGCCAGTGAAAAATGGGAGGTTGTTGCACATCCCAGCTCTCCCACTACTGAACCGAAAATTCACAGGAGATGATCCGGAAACAACGTGGCGCAGATCCCAGAAAGGGCCAATCATGTATGAAAACACTTTATCACAGTATGATACCGTATCATAGAGGGATATCCTAACGCCAATAATACACTCCGGACGAGATGTCCTGACACTTGTGAGTATTTGAATGGACTACGGAGAATGTGTTTTTCTTTGCAATCTTCTGTAGCGTTCATTCATTGGTCCCATTCCTTGAATGTGAAAACAAAATCCAATCGTATGCCCCTGCAACAATCCGCACTGCTCTGCAGTATCTCCACACGACAGTTATCTCCACACTACAGTACAGCACAGTCCATTGTACAGCCTCTCTCGAAGGGCAAGCTCGGTTTGACAGCGAGGGTGTCTACGACCGCCTCTTCTTTGGGCGTTCACCTTCACAGACTCCGAAACAGCTCCGATCTTCAATTTGTGCAACAAACAAAGTGTGCACGACCACGATGACCAAGCGAACGATTTCGACAACCATGGCAGGTTTCGTCGCCCCATCCATGCTGTCTGTGATACCACGCTGCACCCGTGCACACACAACATTTCGTGGTCTCAGAATTTCACGTCGCTCTTATAGAACCTCCTTCAGTGTGTCACCTACGCCACCACTCTCCGTCTTATCCATGGTAACGACAGAAAAGAAGATAGGTGGCAAAAAAGAATCGCAAGCCAAAGGAAAGAGTGGGAAGAGGGTTAAGAAGGGCTCCTCTTCTCCCGGACTTCTCAGGGCACTAGAGAAGTACGAACCAGTCATTGGCATTGAGTTTCATGTCCAGCTAGCCACCAAGACGAAAGCTTATTGCAGCTGCTCCACGAAAACCCCTCGCACACCCAATGTCAACGTTTGTCCAGTTTGCATGGGGCATCCAGGTGCACTCCCGGTTGTGAATTCGAAGGTGGTTGAACTTGCTGCGAAGGCTGGAATGGCTCTAGGATGCGATATTTCCAGTTATTCTCGGTACGATCGCAAAAACTACTATTACGTCGATACCGCCAAAAACTATCAGATTACGCAAGACTTGTTTCCGATAGCAACGAAAGGCTCAGTCCAGCTTCCAAATTCCGGAGGAGTCATCGGCGTCACTCGCCTACATATGGAAGAAGACTCGGCCAAGATGTCACATGAAGGAGCCGATGCGTCTGGGAGACTCACTGACTCTACCCATTCCCTGGTCGATTTCAATCGTAGCGGCATTCCTCTCGTTGAAATCGTCAGCGAACCTGATATTCGAAGTGGCTTGGAAGCCGCCGAGTATGGACAGGAAGTCCAGCGCATTCTTCGCTATGTTGGGACGAGCAATTGCAACATGCAAGATGGTAGTATGAGATGTGACGTCAATGTATCCCTTCGTCTCAAGGGCACAAAAAAGTTTGGAACGAAAATTGAGCTCAAGAATCTCAATTCGTTTTCCGCAGCCCATAAATCAATAGACTTTGAGATTGAACGACAAGCTGAAATTCTTGACAGAGGGGAAACGCTGCAAATGGAGACAAGAACGTGGGATGAGAAAACCAATGAGACCCGGACAATGCGAGTCAAGGAAGGCGCAGCAGACTACAGATACTTCCCAGAGCCAGATATTCCACCCTTGAACCTGAGCGACTCGCAACTACAAACTTGGCGAGATACTTTGCCTGAGCTTCCCAACGAGAAGAGAGTGAAATATCAGGAAGAATTCGGACTGTCTGGGTACGACGCTTTCTTACTCTCTGACGACACACAGGTTGCGAAATATTTCGAGGATTCGATTGCAGCTGGAGCAAAGCCGAAGCAAGCGGCCAATTTGATCATGGGCGACATTACAAAAGTCTTGAAGTCTGAAAAAATAGGAATCAAGCTTTGTAAGCTTACGGCTGAAGGTCTTGCTGAAATGATTGGCATGATTGACGGCGGTGTCATCAGTAACAAGATCGCCAAGGACCTTGTACCGGAACTTGTCATCAAAGGAGGCAATCCTGCGCAAATCGTTGAAGAAAGGTTCGTCGCTTCTTTGCAACATGACGTTTTTTCCCGTCTATTCCATGGCCTTTTCTGACCTCTTTTTTCTTACTCCTGAATCACTTCACAGAGATCTCAAACTAATATCCGATCCGGATGTTATAAGAAAAATCATCGAAGGCGTAGTTGATGCAAATCCAAAAGAGTTAGAGTCTTATAAGCAGGTAAGGATATGCTATTCGACTCGAGTATGCGTTGTAGGACACAAACCCGAGCTCGATTGTCGCTAACCTGAACTTCTTTATTTCAACTTCCTTTCGCCATTCAGGGGAAAACAAGGCTCCTCGGCTTCTTTGTCGGAAAGACACTGTCTGCTTCTGGCAGCAAAGCAGACCCTACGACTACCAACAAAATCCTGAAGGAGATTCTGGATTCATGATTGAAACCATCTAATAGGTTTTCGCGCCACCCGGCAATACTTTCGAGCTTCTCTATTTGTCTGCCGCACCCGGAAGGTTATACTGTAATAGGACACGGCTGCCGCAGTGAAGGAGTCTTGTAAGGTTGGTGAATCTATTTTCCTGTCACTATGCCCATCTAACTTCGATTGTCCCCCAAGATTTGGACCTGACGGCTCTATGATGCATGTGTGGTTCACTTTGAGGCACAAAAAGCGCCTCCCTGACAAAAGGCTGCAAATCTGTAAATTTTTGATTTGGACCTCAAAACCAATTAAATATCTATCGGTGCTGCGGCGCTAGTCCATCGCATTACACCTTTCAAGGACCAAAGCGAGATGATGCGCGATGGCGAACCTACCACGTCACAAGCTGTGCATCGAGAAAGTGTACTTGATCCCTTCAGGCAGTTCCGTCGCTTCTTTTGACATTTTAGGAGCTAGTCTAAGTTGCGAATTCAGTGACAGCATCTGCGCAAGAGGTGGTGCATCCAGAAGTCATCTGAAGTTCAGTTTGAAGCAAAGAGAATGAGTGGTATGGCATTCAGTCCGTCGCTTGTCCTTTCCCCCTGTAGAGGATACCATGGCAATTTCATACATTTCAGCAAAACCACGCGTGTCTATCACGCAAATCGCGTTAAAGTCTCCAGGCGCTGGCACGCGTCATCAATCCCAGAGCCGGAACAAGGTGGCAATACGGCGGACGACGACGCGCTTAACCTGGAGCTCCGGAACAAAGTCAACGAACTCTTCGGAAGCAGGCAAAATGTCTCCATAGAAATGGAAGCGGACTCGAACGTGCAGTTTAGGGTTCGAAAAAGAGAGGTTGAATATGAATATCGGCAAACCAAAGCAGCATGGTCAGTCATCGGTTCCGTTGCCGCACTTTCTGTCGCAGCGGGCATTGCCTTCATTGTGCTCTACGCCACAGGTGCCGTCCATGGCTCCCCGAACGAGAGACGATACGACATGCCCACGTTTGGGACGACGTCCTACATCGATCCATACGAACTACTAGAAGAGGAGTCACAGTTTCAGGATGATCAAACCCTTTCGAAATGATCGTCTTCCACAACGCAAGTGCACAGGCCTGTAACATTCTGTACTATTTGTTTATTGCTCTTATTGCTCTCTTTTTTGGGCTGTACATTACAATGACCTTCATGTAATGGAGCCCAGTGGGTCGGGGTGCTGCTTCAGTAAAAGAATGGCACCTAGTATATCTTAGAAGAAGAAAAGGTTGTGATGCCCGGGGGAGGGGCTAGCTCATTAGGCCAAGGTCATACATGTAAACTTCACGAACGCACTACTTCCGTCCCCTCCCCCTTTTCCCTCTTCCGCCCTTTCGCCCACTACCATGTCCCGGGGTCGATGATGATGATGGTGCGGTTTCTTCAGGTGCAGGTTGAGACAACTGGAAATCAAACTGCCCTTTGGTGACACGAGATAATTCTTTCATAAGGAGGTCATATGAGAGCATTTCAATTTCAAACTTTGCCGTATCTCCGTAAACCTCCCGGTTGACACGTGCATGCTTCCTTATCGCTGATGAAACCGCACCGGCAAGAGAGGTAGCGACTGTGACTGTTCCTTCCATTATACCAGCGCTCTTCTTCATTGGCATGACAGCCGTAAGCCTCTCGATCATTCCAGTGACTTGCCTATCTGCGTCGACGTCAACATCGATACGCAACTTTATGCGTTCCAACGCATTCTCGATGCGCGTCGTCGGCAGAGGACGCCCTTCCGGGGACGAGTAATTCTTCTGAATAGAAGCGATAATTTCCTGACGCTTGGCATCCAACTTGGCCTGCCGTTCATGGGCACTCTCCTGCGCATCACCCTCACGGAGAATGATGTCCAAGGCCCCATTCACGTCTTCAGAGCCGAAGGCGTCCTTGATTTGGTCGGCGCTCGCTTTTGTCCCCTGACTGGCATTTGTCCATATTCTTGGGACGATAACCACGTCGTCTATCCTCTTGATTGAGCCATCGCGATACTTGTTCACCGCTCCTTCATTGACCATCACTTCGAAGGTGGTCCTTCCCTTCTTCATGCGAACAAGCATGCCTTCTGACGCCATGTCTTGGTTGCAGTTGTTGGAAGATAATGGGAACTGAGATGTGTTCTCACTTTCAGTGTCGGTATTCGCACTTACGAAAGGAAAATTGTAGTGCCTATTTGTAGAGTGTGGAAGGAGTACATGCAGACAAAATCCCTTTTGAGCAAGGGACTTAAGGGTTCTTATTCAGCAAAGTGAAAGATATGCTCTGGATTGCTTGATATCAGTTTCCTATAGTTAGCTTCAAAAACCGAGTTCTGGTTTAAAAAAATCGTGTTCGGGAAACGTATCTCACCTCATCCAGTTTCTTCTGAAACGTGTGCTTGTTTAACAGGTGCTCATGTTCAGATCTGGACGATCTTGTTTTCGTCGCTTCCTTTAATTCTACTTCAATCTGTCTATTTGGTCCGCGCGCCGGGCCAATCTGACGCATTGGCAAATATCTCTTCGCTTACTCTGAAGTGCAGCCGTCGTTTTGCAACTTGCAAATCGAGAATCTCACTGTATCCTATCTCTTACGGTATCCCATTTGCTCTAATGACGTCAAGCGGACTTTCAGACATTTTCTATTTCCTTATGCCACATCCACATCTCAAATGTGTTCGGGGAAGCCAGCCAGGAGGCAATGCAATACGAAAACCTTACGAAGGTTCCTTTCGAGCACACCCAGCAATGTGGGGACGAATAAGACACCATGATCCCCCGACACCAAACTTTTCATATTGCACCTCACTGAATCTAAACCTTGAGCCCTGCACATTCTCCAAAATGCTTGCTGTGTCTCGGTTCAGATGACATCCGTCGGCAAGAGCGCCCTGAAGGGGATTTAGCAAGTTCTGTACAAGGCGAAAAACAGGACGGGACCGATCCGCAATGACGTGTTCAATGAAAAAAAGTCGTCCCCCTGGCTTCAGCACACGCAGAACTTCTTTTAACGTCTCACACGGATCCCGGACGCTGCACAACGTTAATGTGATAATCACCACATCGCAGCTTTCATCTTCAACTGGGAGTTGCTCCCCCACCCCGCCAACCACACGAAGCTCTATTCCGTTTTCTCTGGCTTTCTGCATTGCATACGGCCACATGTACTCATTTGGATCGACTCCTAGCACGTGTGTGCCTTTCTGTAGAAAGCGAAGATTCGGGCCGGTCCCAATGCCGATGTCTACGACTGTCTCCGATGACAATATTTGAGCGAACAGCTTACGTTTGACAGCTGCAATACTTTTCTCGTACTCGAGCATTCTAGTCTCCATAAATTCGGCAAAGGACTTTTGCCGACTGATTCGTCCCTTCTGCATGCGAACGAACCTTCCCTCTGGTGCCATGGTGTGGTTGCCGTTTGTCGGAGATACATGAACAGGAACGGAGCCGTGTTCTCACTTTCGGTGCCAGGATCCGGGCCTTGGAAAGGAAGTATTTGACTTTTCTTGATAGACTATCGCAGCTGGACGCTTAGATGGAACTGGTGGCTTTTGGAGACGCGGTTTAGAATGCGGACAGAGAGTGCGCTGGCCGTCGCTGTTTTGCACGACGGACTTTATTCAAGGTTTTGTCTAAGCAATGGATGGAGGTGCTCACATTGTCATAGTTTTTTTCTAGAACAACATTCTGGATTAAAAATGCTTTTGGCGAAATATTATTCCCAAACAAGCATTTCTTAACCTGAATGACTTGAGACACATGCAAAATACATGTATGTGTCTCACATCGACGATGTGAGACACATACAAATTCTAATGGAACGCATGATTGTTGTAGGGGTGGAGCTTCAGGTCCAGACAATCTTGTTCCTTGCACTCTTTAATTCTATTTCAAAACTTCTATTTGGTTCCCGTGCCCGGGAAAATGACTCATTGACAAATATCTCTTCGTTTGGAGTCACTCAACAACCCTAAAAAAGTTTTTCAATTGTTTCAAAACACTTTGCGCCTTAGCAGGTAGCAAAATGATGTGACTGGTGTACGACATCCGTAGCAAGTCTGCTTTTATCCACAACTTCGGGAACATTGCTGCTCCGCAACGCTGGATGTGTAGTTTACTGCCAGCCCTGCTCCAGCCTCATCGATGTGAGGAGGCTGCCAAAACTCATTCTTGATGCATGACTGCTTCATGCGGGGAGCCGTCCCTCTGATCGTCCCAGTTCGCCCTTATCTCTCACAGTTGCCTCTTCCACAGGCGCCAAGTCCTCGTTTGACCTCATGTATTGTTCTTGGTCAGAGACAGCATCAAGAGGCCTGAGCGGTGCAAAAAAGATATGTGTTTGGGATCCCAGTGGGTTCCGGATTAGCAGTAGAGCGGCGAAGCGAATTTCGAAATAGGCGAGATTGCAGTAAAATGAATGTCCTGCGTTCCGCAGCAAATAGTGTTCTCCAATTACGCCGCACCACGTGCACATGTGCGCTGTGGCGAAACAGGAAACAAATCGAAAGGGGGTCCTGCAGTACAACCACCGATACTCCAATAGAGCACCTGCTATTTTGTAGTTTTCGAACCACGATTCCCTTCTTTATCCGGCATCCTGTATACCCCAGCTCTATTTCTATTCGGGAATCTCGTAGGCGGCATGCACATTCGAGCCACGCGCCCTTCGTTGCGCGTATCGGGTCGCTCCTATTCTCCCGATTCCACGTGTTCTGATATGAATCAGTATCTTCAAACATTCCTATTCCCCTGAATGCACGTGTTCCAATATGAATCGGCATTTTCAAGCAACCACTGACACTTCGTCGTAACCATCCTATTTGCAAGGAGAACCCAGCATCAGCAAGCTATAACCTTTCCAGCTCCATACGAATCTGACGCAAACGATGTTCAAGACCTTTTTTCGCCTCCGCTTCCGTGCGAATCGAAAGCAAATTATCTATTAATCGCTCGTAAGTCTCAAGTACTTGCCCCTTCGCGAGGGCAAGGTCAGTACTATCCAGAAGCCTTCCCTTTGCCTTCGAAGCAACCCCCTTGAATTTACCTTCTAGCTCTGTAATCTCATTCTCCAACTCCTTCATGTCTTGGACGGCGTCCTTCTTGTCATGATATCTTGCTCCGAACATTAACATCATCATAGATCCATCGCGCAAACCTGCCTCCGCCAACGACATATCATCCATTAAAAACCGCCCTTTATGAAGAAGCTTCATATCTCTCGCAGCAGCATTCATGCCATCTAGACCAGCTACGTGCACCTTCAGCTCCCCAACGGTTGCACTTAATTCGACGTTTGCTCGGAAGCGTTCTCTCCCCCTTTTGAGAAGAACTTTCGTCTGTCCCGCTTTCGCAGCATCACCGCGAACTTCTTGATTGGTGGGCGAAGCATTACATGCTGATGCTGATGCTGATGCTGATGCTGATGCAGATGCAGAATCTCCATCAGCCGACTGTTCTCGCATTGCGTCAAGAGCAGCGTTATCCTGGCTTATTTTCACAGATTTCTCAGCTTGCAGGTCAGCTTCTCGTTGCTTTGCTGTCACCATCGCCATCATTTTCGCCCCTGACATCACTTTCGCCGACTCCAGCGTTGACGCATCGTTCAGGAATTTTCCTTTGTAGAGTAATCGGAGTCCGCCATCCACCATTCCCGCCTTTGACTCCACTTGCTGCCGCAGGGCGCTGACAGTCATGTCTGGAGAGCAATCCGCCCGGATAATATCCTTCCCCTTGCTTACTCGCACTATGAAAGAATCCATGGTGAATGCACTAATACCGACGGCTGCGAAAGGAGTAGAAGAAAACTGTGACGACAACTCTGTTTTGGATGAGTCTCTTCATGTTTTTGATTCGCTGTAGAAGGAGAAAAATGACTGAATAATGCAAGTTTGATTAGTGCTTCCTCGAAATATGGGCAGCGCCTTAGCTTTTGTCCCTCATTTAAAGATTAAACTAACAGTCTTAACTAGACAAGAGGCCCTTTACTAAGATATTCAATTAACGCCGCGTTCTCATCCGGTTCAGCAGAATGCCTAATTGAAATCGCGGCCAGATTTTGGTCCGAATAGATCACCCCCCTTGCTCCTGACGACCGTCCAACCGTTCTACTAACGATTGACCACCGTGGCTCGAAAGACAGGTACCAAGTTCGGAGCTCCAAATGCACTTTAGTGAAGGATTGAAATGATTCATGAGAGAAGTTCTGCAAGAGACTTGTCAGCTTTCGTTGCCCCATGTGTATTCGGCCTTCGGCAGGGCTTCAAAGCACCTGCTCCCCGGACAGCTGAGAGCCAAAGAGGGACAAGAGCGCACCTTTCTATGCGGGGCACGGACCGGAGAGCTAGTGTGAAACCGGAATGGAAATGTATGAAGGGTTGCGGTGCATGTTGCAAACTAGGAGATTTCGATGAAGAGGTCATCAGCGACATGTTGCAAAAAGAGGAAGATGTCGTGGAGTACCTTGGCATGATTGGAGAAGATGGCTGGTGCAAATGGCTTGATACATCTACCCGACAGTGCACAAAGTACGACGAAAGGCCACGGTTTTGTAGAGCAACTCCCGAAGTGTTCGAAGAGTTGTATCACGTTGACAAAGCAGACTTTCAGACATTTGCTATTTCTTGTTGCCACATCCACATCTCAAATGTGTTCGGGGAAGCCAGCCAGGAGGCAATGCGATACGAAAACCTTACGAAGGTTCCTTTCGGGCAAACCCAGCAATGTGAGGACGAATAGGATTCCATGATCCCCCGACATCAAACTTTTCATATTGCACCTCACTGAATCTAAACCTTGAGCCCTGCACATTCTCCAAAATGCTTGCTGTGTCTCGGTTCAGATGACATCCGTCGGCAAGAGCGACCTGAAGGGGATTTAGCAAGTTCTGTACAAGGCGAAAAACAGGACGGGACCGATCCGCAATGACGTGTTCAATGAAAAAAAGTCGTCCCCCTGGCTTCAGCACACGCAGAACTTCTTTTAACGTCTCACACGGATCCCGGACGCTGCACAACGTTAATGTGATAATCACCACATCGCAGCTTTCATCTTCAACTGGGAGTTGCTCCCCCACCCCGCCAACCACGCGAAGCTCTATTCCGTTTTCTCTGGCTTTCTGCATTGCATACGGCCACATGTACTCATTTGGATCGACTCCTAGCACGTGTGTGCCTTTCTGTAGAAAGCGAAGATTCGGGCCGGTCCCAATGCCGATGTCTACGACTGTCTCCGATGACAATATTTGAGCGAACAGCTTACGTTTGACAGCTGCAATATTCTTCTCGTATTCGAGCATTCCAGTCTCCATTGCGTCGGCAAAGGACTTTTGTCGAATACCTCGAAATGGTGGCTCGCCCTTCGTGTTGTCGGTCGGCATGCAGGCTTGAGCGGGCAGCGCTCTCATTGCCAACAATGCGATTCCGTACTGACATAGTTTCCTGCGACTCGTGCTATGTGACCGGGATTGCCATTGCCCTTGTGGTCGTGAAGTCGCGCAGAGTGTTGGGATCCCGGCAAAAGCAATTTCGGTTGTCATAGCAAGATATGGGGCTTCAGTCGAGCACCTGCCATCACTTGATGACAACCACTAGCTCATTTCCCATGTGAGCTCAGCCAAGTACAGATGATGCTCTTTTTATGTCAAAATCTTCATCGAAATATACACAGTTAGGCACCTTTCTTTACAACTGCTGTGATGTCCCGGGTTAATGTAAGAACGAGGCCACAAAGTTACGAGGCATGCAGAGACCTGAAGTATCAGATCACCGCATGCCCCGGGCGTGTTCTGTCGCTATACCCCAGTTTCGCTCTCGCGCCGTTTCAAATCGCAGTAGTGACCGCCAAATGGCGCACATGCGTTCTGATCAGCGCATAATCTATGCTATCTTGCCATGAATTTAAATCTGCTTGACGAGTTGAATAACATCCTCATCACATAACACGTGGTCCTTACCACACTTTTGTGGGTTGAACTTTGTGCTTCTTCCCCACACAAGAGCAAACTTGAGTTCGTTTTCTAGCGTCTTGTGAATTCTTCTGCAGAATGCAGCTACTGTCCGCATCCGTTCCTCATTTTTCAGAATCACTGGTTCCGAGAAATCTACCACTGTGACACCCTTGGGCTTAGTATAAATGCGCACTAGCTGGAGGTCATCCCAGATCTTCTCCAAAAGACCATCAATGTTCCATTGCAACTTCCCGCAAATGGGAACGTAGCGGTCCATCCGGTGATAGAGCTCCAGCTCCTCCATCGTGATCTTGTCAATCATATTCACAATGTACAGAGCTGGGACGTACCTGCGATTGCCCTCTATAACATCGATGATCTCATCAATAGAGCTAACAGTGGCAGGAAGATAATTCAGAAAATAGTAGAGGGCAAGTGGGGACCGACACAGTAGTTAGTATTCCAACTCTTCGAGTCATCAGCGCGCGAAGCCGAAAAATGGGCGAAGGGTAACGGGACCAGACGAAAAAAAGACTGCAACCTACCATTCTCCGCGCACGACAAAGTCGGCGTTGTGAAGCCGGTACTCAGCACAGACGCTCTTGACAACATCCAGATTCAAGTCTGTTTGGACGGCTGAGGAAAAGGAGATACCTCCGCGATCCTTCCTGCGAAACAATACTGGAGGCGGCTTCTTGTTCAGCCTAATTCCAAAGCCCTCCAGCTCCTTCTCGATGATTCGCTTGTGACTTGCCGGCTTCGACGCATCAAGCACAATCAGAATTAGGTCACACGAACGGGCAACAGCGATGACTTGCCGCCCCCTTCCCTTACCATCTTTAGCGCCCTCAATAATTCCTGGAAGATCGAGCATTTGAATCTTCGCTCCGTTGTGGTACAGCATTCCTGGAATGCAGGTAAGTGTCGTAAACTCATACGCTGCTGCTACACTTGCTGTCCCCGTGAGAAGCGTTAGCAGTGATGATTTTCCGACAGATGGAAAGCCTATGAAGCCGACCCGGGCATCCCCTGTTTTCGAAACCTCGAAGCCCTCGCCACTTGGTCCACCACCACCCTTCGGCGGTGCGATCAGCTCACGCCGTAGCTTCGCAAGCTTGGCCTTCAGAATGCCAAGATGCTGCGATGTGGCCTTGTTCTTCTGTGTCCGTGCCATCTCAGTCTCGATCTCCTCGATCTTCGCGAGTGTCGCTGCCATGGTTAGGGTCGTCCCTCGTTACAGGTCAGCTGTAGTGGAATCTTCTTAAAAATATGCGTACTACGGCGCAAGAGTAATGTACAGGTGATTCAGATCTCGGATGCTGCAGACTAGAGGACCAGTGCTGCGCTGTGATGGAGCGTGCAAGTTCAACGAGAAGTTCAGGGGCGCTACAAATACGATAGGGAGTATCGAGCGGTGTCCCACCCTAAAAGTATTTATTGAGCTGTTTAAAGCTGTAGACGCGTGCTTCGAATATTTCACAAAAAAACGACCTTGCCTTAAATTTCCCCAAAAAATCCACTTCATCCTCCGAGAAGCGAAGCCCTGATTGCCTTTCGGACCAGCCTTGTACAGTACCAACTTGGTACTGCCAAGGGTACCCTTGGTAAGGCAGACCTGGAACAATTCTCTTCCATTACTGAAGTCGCACATTTCCCCCTCTCTCTGCCATGCTTGGGAAAAGAGATGCTGCCCTGTTCAACAGTCTTTTATTCTATTTCGCCCTACATTCCATCAGTAGGGATTGAATGACGCCGTGTGTGCCGTGAGCTCTCCCCTATGACTTCAGTATCTTCGCATCTGGCCGGAGTGGCTAGAAGAATTGCAATTTGGCTTCACCTTCCACACGATGGTGCATCCTAAACAAGCAAATTGTGGAGTGTTTAAATATATAAGCGAAAGGCGTACACACGGGCTCGGGCAACGGCGGAAAGCCATGAACATACACAAAGATTTACGCCCACAACAGAAGCGGCAGTATCTGTCACAAGTGGGATTAGACCAACAATAAGAAATCGCCACAGCATGAGTCTTCCGTTTACAAAGCAATTGGTATACCGCAGAACTGGCAATGCACAAAAAAACCTCAGGAGATCAAGACACGAAAGCGCACGCCACCCTGTGCGAACTAGTCGCAAGCACTACATAAACAAAAGGGAAGCGATAACAATACGTTGCCCTGAAAGCGTGTCCGAGTATGTCGAGTAAGCTACGCAAAGCCAGCGTGGAGATCCTAATCCTCGTAGACGCGGCATTCATCGGCTTCTGGGGATTCTTCGCAGAACTTCTCCAGCGGGTCGTTTGAGCCCTTGTTGGCCTTGAGATGGGAGGCCTCCGCCTCCAGCTCTTCAACAACGTCCCAGGCGAGGGCAGCTTCCTTGGAGCCCTTTCCAAACTGCTGAGTGGCGTCCTGGGCCTTCTTCATCTCCTCCTGGATCTTGACTTGGATGGTGTCAAGATTCATCGAGAGGGCGACGCGCGGCTTCGGCGTGGTCCACCTCAGCGAAGAGCCCTTAAAGGAGGAGACCTACGTAGTCGAACCGAAAAGTGCGCCACCAATGACCATATGTGGCGTGAGCAGGAGGGGGGACGAGGGGTCAGACACTGGGCAGACGGGAGGAGCGTGAGCGCAAGCAAAAAGTGGCCATGAAACGCAATCGCTTGATGAGGACATACCGCTGGTGTGACGGACGCTGGTCGGACGGCGACGGAGACAGAGGAGACAAAGGCCATTGCAGGAAGCGGATAAGTGAGGCGGTGACAAATATCAGTTAAGTGAGCTGGGAGTGAGGATGAGACAAGAGGGCAGGGACGAAGACGTCAGGCCCGGCGAAATTGAGGAGCTAAAAAGCAGCGAGGGCCGAGAGATTTTGTTTGAGAGCGAAGAAATCTGCACAATGGAATGGAGCCAGGAGCTTCCTTGGAGCGACCAATGGGGAGGCGAATAGCGCATGCAATATCTCCTCGATTTCCGCCTTTCATGGCCACGGGACTTTCTACTGTAGATCAAGACGTCGGGCTTTCAGGAAGGACGATATTGGCTGTTTTCATTGGCTGCCCCTCCGCCCTACTCCGCCGCTGCCCACCCAGAAGGTGACAGGTACCGACAAGAGAGCCTAACAAAAAAAGAAATATCCCTCTGGTTGAGCTTGGCAGGACCGGATGCCTTTGTTCTCATTTGTTCGCCACTGGCCACTCTCAGTGTCGTAAACGATGACGGGAAATTGCCGATCCTCGGCCATCAATTGCCGTCGGCAATTGATGGCCGAGGATCGATTTCACATTCTCCATAGCCCCAAGGAAACATTTTCGCAATTTTTCGTAAAACATTGATGGTGTGTACAGTACTAGAAGGGCTTCCAGAAGCCCTTCTACCATACACACCATTTCAGATGATCAAGCAAAAGCGCATGCACGTTCTTCGTAACTTCTGAAAGTATTGCGTACAACTCTACCTTCGAAGGTAGAGCTAGGGGTGAAAAGTCTCGATCACTTTTTGGACGAATGCAGTGAGCACACTCGCCCTTCCATAGAACTGGTCGATTGAATGGGAATGCTACAAACCCGCACAGTGCATTGGTATGAGCCTCCTTGCCCTTCCGTATCTCGGGACACTTGGCTCTTTATACCTACAGCCTTTCCGTTCTATTCCATACGACCTGTAGTCTGTCGGTCGTCCCGACGTTGAAGGTCTCCATTTATTGTTTTCTTTCCCTTCCCCAACTTCATTGTAATTATGCAAAACCTCGCACGGACACATGTCTGGTGTCTAACACACTCATCGCAGAAATGCACCAAGAGGAAAGCTCGACTGAAACAATAAGTACGCGCAAGCATCAAAAAGTCAGCATGCCTTCTTACTCCAGTCCACGAAGCTTTCGCCGCACCGCATACAGTACCCACTCTCCCCACTCATGAATTCTTCGTCCTTCCGTCTCCTCGCGGCACCCGTCCAGCCACGCTAGCCTTCTTCGTTTTTTTCTGCGCCAACGCTGTCCCCGCTGAGGCAGACCACCCTCCCTTCGTCCCGTAGCTCTCGCCCCTCCTCTTCTTGCGCCCTCCAGTCTTCTGACTCATCTCTCCGGGCCCTTTGCGCTTCCACGGCATCTGCTTTTCCTTCTTCGTGGTGGGTGCGGAAACCTCCTCGCGCTCCATAAAGTCCTGCGTCTCGCGCATCGGGGCAGGAGGTAATGCTACTCGCCCCGAATTGCCCTGCGAGCCGCCGACGTCCAGAATTGTCATTGTCTGCGGCGCAGTGTGATCCATCGACAATACCTCGCGCTTTCGCAGCACCCGCGCTTCCTCGTTTTCTGCGCTTGCGCGAGCGCGGATCGAAAAGCTGAGGTGGTGAAACGGTGTTGACACTCTCCCAGCGTTAACCCGAATAGGTTGCTCCTCGAACCATCGTTGATGCTGTTCCATCGCTCGCATGAAGTGGGGGGGCTCATACGCCTCCGGTGTGTGGTCCTTGTATAGAATCTATATAAAGACAATCGATAGAAGTGTGAGATGATGACGTTACCACATTGGTTGATACACCAATGCCGGGGCGGGGGGGGATCAGCAAGTTACCTTCATTGAAATAATCTTGTTTTGCGGGAGCGGCTCGAGGGTCTCGGTGAGCTCGAGCAAGGCGCGGAGCACACCACCCGCATTAGTCTTGATTTCCTGCTTGGAGGCGGACGGGCGACTAGTGGCGGCAACCTTTCCCTCCTTCCCTAGCAGCAGCTGGGCCCCGTCGGAGTCGTAGTTAAAGCCGAATGAAAAGCATTCCAGCAGCTCGCCGCGGTGTGAGGAAAGCTGCTGCAAGTCAGTCTGCTTGGGCGACTTGGGCTTTCCTTTCGCCTTCGGGGGACCGGGGGCGCGAGCAAAGACCTCAAGAAGCACTTTGTCCAGATACTGTTTGCGCAGGGCGTCAAAGACGCCTTCTTGTAGGCAGTCGACGTAGTGAGCGACTTCGACACTTTGCATGTCGACGAGGTCGTGGTAGCGAAAGGGGCCCATGCTGGCGATGGAAAAACACTAGAAGGGGTGACGGGAACAGGAAGAGATTTGGCGGTTGGGATGAGCCAAGTTAGTCCGCTGCTGTCAAAGCGTGAGCGTAAATCAAAGGGACATTCGAGAATGGATGAGAGCAGGAGGTAAAGAATGGGACGTCGTACGTCATGGTGGAAGAAGCGGCGAAGATAAGCAACGGAAAAGAAAGCAGCTTTGAGGAGGTTTGTCATGAGCCCGAAGCTCTCTGTCTTGGAGATGATATCACTTCTCGTTTTTTGCTGCGCGACCAAAAACAAGCAATTACGAACACAAACGTCAGTTGTCGTCCACATGCGCAACGAGGAGCACTGAAAAGCACACACAGTCAAGACGTACCATGGTGACTCGGACTCTCTTATCTGGGCTCGAATCCTCACAGACGAATTCACAACTCGTCACAAGGACGGTAACCTCATCGCAGTGGACGCATCAACGCGCTACTGCAATAAAAGAGAAATGCGCGACACACCAAGCGCAAGTCGGACTTTGCGCTTCGGGCGCGCGGGCCATTTCGCTTCGCCACATGCGACACAAAACTTCTGAACAACGAAAAACAAGATATTTACTGATATGCTACTTCACGCGACATTATTGCGTTACAAATACAAGGGCTGCTCATCGGCGTCGGACGACCGGGGCGCAACGGTCACAGCTGGTTGAGCCTGCGGCGTTCGTCCCTCATCCGAGCGACCCTGTCGACGTACCCGGCCCTTCTGACGCTCCTGCGGACGAAGGCGGCGAGCTCTATGGCGTCCGCGGCGCCGGCGTTGGCGCGGCGGCGGCTCGGCGGCAGGTCGTGCTTGCCGTAGCGCATCGTGTAGCGCGTCGGGGCGGCGGCGGCCAGCGCTAGCAGCAGCGCGAGCAGCACCGGGAGGAGCTTGATCATGGCGGCGAGAGCGGAGCGGTTGTACGGGGCAGTGCGGTTGTGCGGGGCAGTGCGGTTGTGCAAGGCGAGAATGCGAGGCAGTGGTAAGGGAGGCGATGAATAATGAGGCAGTGGTAAGGAAGGGTACTCGTATGTAGAAGGTGGAGACGATGGTGGTGGAAGGGGGGGCCGTTAACGGTAAGAGGGTAAGCGGGGTGTGTGTTTATGAGGCGATGGTTGGGCGGATGCGCTGCCACGCCACTGGAGGGGTGCGTCGCTTGTGGAAAAAGCAACGATTTGCCAGCCCCAAATTTCCGCAATTTGACATCATCACGCAGTATGTCGCAAGGCCAGCAGGATAGCGTGGCCACGTGTGATCGGTAATCTAGAACCCAGACAAAGGCGGACCAGCAAGGTGTCGCGGCGTACTCGCTGTCCGCATGCGGACAGCCGCGCGCATCGCTGTCCGGCTACGAGCATTTCTTATCATGTACGGGGCCCAGTCCTCTATCCTTGCTCACCACTCCACACAGCACTGCGGCCTTCATCCCCCGCCCTCATCTATGCATCCCAACCTCGACACACCCTCGCCCCATGAGAGTCTACTGTCACCCGCGTCGGCAACCGTTCAACACGCTCTCGCAACTTGGGATAGGTGCTGTATCCCCTGAAGTTCTCGGATCTCCTAGCGCCCCGTATCGCTGCTGCAAAGCAAGCAGCATCCTCTTCCTCTCGCAACTTCTCTTCAAATTGGAAACCTGGCACTGCCCTTTGTGCTGCACCTCCACTGTCTGAGCACGTTTACTTCACCACCCCCCGCCGCCCCCTCTGTCCTCTCGCCGTCACCCCTCAAGTCCTCCCCTATAAAAACCGGGCCCTACACCCGTCCCACTGGTCTCTAATCCCTTCTTACGAATCGGACCACCTCCTACACATCCTGCCTTCTCCCTCGCCTGCCAGTTCGAGGGGCGATGCAGCCCGCCGCCGACGCCATTCCTCCGCCTTCGGCCGCGGACGCCGTCATTGCCCGTCCCGCCAGCACCGCCGCTGCCCCCGACCCGGCCCTGCGACGCGCGCGCGACCGCACCTCCCCCCCGCCACCGCCGTCGCCGCCCTCCTCCGTGTCGTCGGCCCGCTCCTCGCCGCCCTTCCGCCAGCTGCCCATGTCGCTGCGGCTTGCCATGGCGGTGGCGCTGCTGGCCACCCTTCTGCGCTGGGGCGGCGCGGCGCGGCCGCGCTCGCACGCCGACTTTCGTGACGTGCGCTCGCTGGGCGACCTGTGCGCCGCGCTGTTCGCGCCGGCGTGGCTCGACGGTCGCATGTTCCGCCGCGGCCACTACGCACCCCCGCCGCGCTGGAGAGATACTGAACGGTTCTTGAGCGAGCTCGTGCTCGTCGACGACGGCGAGCACTGGGTCGTCCGCATCTCCAAGGGGCGCGTGGGAGAGCTGAGCAGGGAGCGCGGACACCGCGGGCCGGTTCCGGGTACGTTTAGGCCGTGCCGCAAGAGGGGCAGGTGGTGGAGAAAGGTCCTCGCAGCGCTTCGGGGGAGGCACTGGGATGGGGGGCAGTCGACTAGGCCGGGGTGGTCGCACTGTTGCGGGCCGCCGCGATTTGGTGTAGACGAGTTTTATGGGCGGCCGCCACCGCACCGCCGTCCAGGATCGGGGCACCGTTATGGCGGACACCATAGGCACGCGGATGACGCTCGGTGACGGCCGCATACATGAGTTGTGCGATGCCAAATTTTGTGCATACCTGTAGATAGACTAGGGGTCGTAGATGTGGAACGGGTTGTAGTGTTAGTGGTGTAAATAGTGGCAGTGTGATTTTGGGATGGTGAAGGTGGCAGACTACGGGAAGCGGGGAAGGGAATGAGGAGCGGCAAGACCGGCAATTTCGAGCAATTCATGTAGTGTTGTTCTCCCACACACTTGAATGATGTGTGTAAACAGACATGCGGCAGGAGTGGGGCGTAGTTTATTGCGACGTTCACACGTGCCAATCGCAACTGTGAAGGTTGGTCTTCGCTACGACACGAGCACCCTCGATCCGCGTTCCAACAAAAAAAAAAAGCTTACAAGCCAAGCTGTGACAAGCCCGGGAAGTCGTGCGGCCTGGCGCCCTGTTCCCACGTGAGCTTTCTCTCCGCCTCCGGAATCGGGACATCATTGATGCTAGCATACCTCTCCTTCATACGGCCGTCCTCATCGAAGACCCAGTTCTCATTGCCATATGCCCTGAACCACTGGCCGTCCGCATGCCGCCACTCATATGCAAACCTGACGGCGATGCGGTTCCCCTCGAAGGCGAACAGCTCCTTGACGAGCCTGTACCCGTTCTCCTTCGCCCACTTGCGCGTGAGAAACTCTACGACCTCCGCGCGCCCGCTCAGAAACTCCGACCGGTTGCGCCACTTGGTGTCCACCGAGTAGGCCAGCGACACGCGCTTCGGATCGCGCGTGTTCCACGCATCCTCCGCCGCGCGCACCTTGGCCGTCGCCGTGGCGAGCGTGAACGGGGGCACCGGCGGCCTCGCGTCCGTCATCGTCGTGTGTGCCGTCGGCAATCGCGTGCGCCCCGTGCGCGGAGCGCGGCGCGCGGAGTGACAAGTTGGTCCAAGTCCGCCGGCTTTATATCTACTTTTTTTTTTCCCCCCCTTTTTTTTTTCACGCGCGCCGTCTAAGTGCGCGAGCGCGGTTGGTCGGGGTGTGGCAAAAAAAAAAAGGCGACGGCGGCCGTGGCGCTGCCACGCGAGGCAGCGCGAAGCAAAGGGCCACGCGAGATTGCTTGGCGGGGGCCACGCAGGCCGGGGGCGCGGCGCGCGTGATTGGGTCGCGCGTTGTCCTCCGGGCGGCGGGGGAGCACAAGGCTTGATGTGCCGACGATGCGGGCGGGGCGGCGCGGCAGCCAATCCGGGGCGGCGGGGGTCGGGGTGGGGAAAAAAAACAGCCAACTAGGCGTGGCGCGGGCGGC